ACGTTCGCAAGCGACGTATGCCAAGAGGTTCATATATTATCGTCGTAAATCACTTGAGCACAGCATTCAACGCCGGGGTTAACAGGCACTTGAGCCATGACCCCGTCGTGGAATGAGTTGCTAGATGGTAGAACGGTCGATACGTGGTTGTAGAACGTACGACAAAAAGTGAAACACGTCGGAGAGTACGCCCAAGATGGACGCGATGAGGCTGAATCCCAGCGGAAGCGTCAACGACAGCGTGGCTTCTCGGCTACATAACGGAATCTATCGTCAATCGTTCGATTGCTGGATCCAATCTACGTACGCGCAAACGGTAGCTCGTGTGGCGATGCCAGGGCTGCACTTGGTATAGTTCATCTTAGTTTCTGTGGGCGGAATGGATTCGAGACATATAGTTATGGATGCAGCAACTTGAAGATGGACGAACCAGTGGAGGAAGAACTAGTCCGACGTCGCGACCAAGTGGTGTCCGCATTTGCTGCATACTGCATCCCACGTCAGTTGGGCGCATGAAGAGTCAAAAGGTAGGGACATACCTCGCTTGGCTTGACGTTCAGAAGAGCAAGGACTTCCGTCTGACGGTGCTAGCCGCGCGCTACGTTGCGGCCATCGACGGACGTAGATTAATAGTATGGTCGGTGTCCTTCGTGCAAGTTTCGATGGCCAATGAAATCAAAGGTACAGCGCCAGGGGGTTTTGTTTGGCGCAAACACGTTGACATGGTTTGAAATGCTTGTCAAACCACTTTGACACACTAAAAATAGTTCTTATTCTACTTCCAGAAGTCGCTTTATTACTCCGGAGTATTCCGATTTCCTATGACTGCGCCGAGCCGTTGGATTGGCTAATATGCTCTACACGTTTTAGCAAAAAAAGCAACGAGTTAAGTGAGATTAACTCATCCCTGCAATCGTCATTTGACAAAAAGGACATTAGATTGGCTTAAATTGAAACGGACGGTCCCCTTGGCCAATCAAAAGTCAAGATCCATCGTCGTCCAAGGGTCGCATATTGTTGAATTCGCCAACCATCAAGAAGTGTCATTTTGAACCGTGGGCATTCCTGCAAGGCTGCTTGCTACCTCACTGCTGGACCTTCAAATGATACTGCGCCATCATCCCCAACCTCCACGACCTCGTCCTGGCTGAGCGCCATTGCCCTTGCAGTGACGCAGCAGCCATTGTGGGCCTTTGTTTTCCTGTTGTGCGTGTACATGAATGATGTACTCGCTCCACGCCATGCCTTCGACAATGCGGCTCGCGTTGGCTCGATGGACCCAGCTCGAAGAACGCCTCACACAGGGGATATCCTCAACAGCAGTCGCCCAGTAGCAGGTACTGGGACCATTCTACCGGGAATACGCACCAAGAAAGCATCTCTCCCGGGTTGGTCTAGGCGCCGTAGCAACAACTGCGATGAGCAAGCCTCAGCAGTGTAGGTCAATCAACCACCGACAAGTAACATGACGAATGCAGGACCATTTAGTATACCTTGCATATGAATGTAGAGCCACGACGTAGCCGGATAATCGGACACCTCAACCTGACTCATACCGTTCGATCGTGAATACTAGTAGTTATATTGTCCTTTCATCCAAAATTTGGATTTATGTGCTGATTCGTCAAATCCATCGATCGATATTTTGTACTGACTTTTGTATATAAAATAGAAGACCAGTTTTCACACTAATATATAAGTCACACACTAAAATGGTTGAAGCGAGGTTTTGATTGGCCACTTAAATAGCAGGTGTTCTGGGTTTTGATTGGTCTGCCGATATTTGGTCGATTGAATCGACTGGACAATGCTACAAGTACTACGGAGTACTACGGTGGATTGGTAGAGAGTATTGTAGTAACGTTAGAAGTAGTAGTAGTAGTAGTACTATAGTAATGTCTATAAGCTGTGGCCTTCAGACGGGGACGACGGGATCTTGAACAAGCTCGTGAGCATGCTCTTCTCGCTGTACGGCATCGCATATCGCTCGATCACTTCTTCAATCAGCTTGCGCCGCGTCGTGTACGGCGCCATGTACCACTGCGTCTGCTGCCGACACGCTCGATTCGCATTCATCACCGTCTACACACACAAGTTAAGTACATGGGGGTGGTTTGTGCATAAAACTATCATATCGTTCGAAGGGTACTACAAGAAGGACAAGTAAGTGCAACAACCTGTCGAACGAGGTCTGGCAATTGCGCCTCGCTCACAACCATGCCAGTCATAAGCGGGCCAAACAGCGGCACCTACAGTGTACACCCACCATCATATATATATATATATTCGAAGCATTAGCATCACATAGTCCAATATATATATCTCATTATATATATCAAGAACAAGTGGATATATATATTGATACTAAATCTCCCACGTACGTTGGGTTTCGTAAGCACTTCGACCAGCACGAGGCCGTCGTACGTCGGATGTTGGAGCGGAAACAGCACCACTTGCACGAAATTGAAGTTGCTACCCCCACAAAAAGCGCATAAGAGTGTTGTACTTTGTGCCAAATCAACTAAAAACGGGGATGTGTACACAGTATCATCTATCTGCACCTCGTGATTGTGCTTTGATTGTACGCACGGAGGTTGTCGCTCCACACAACATGTACGTAGTCGTTGCCGACGTGCCGCTTCTTGTCGATTTGCTGCGGGTCGGCCTCCCGCGTCGGCATCATCGTCACCACATGAAAGATGAGCTCGGCAGTCGACGTCGCAAAGTACAGCGCCGTCGCGCCATTCGACAACGACTTGGGGTTCACGTCCAGGCCGCCTACAAACCCTCGATGCGTCGATAGGTCCACCTACTCCACGTGATAAGACGGACACATATATATATATATATTGTAATCGATTCGATTCGATGTGTTGGAGTGAATGCGCAGACCCAAATCGACACACAATCGACCGACCAATCAACACATTCGTGGCTTTTCAATCGACCAATCAAATTTCAAGAAATTGTACTGCAACGAGCAGCCATAATACTTGGCCCTTGTGTACCATATTAGTAATTTCTATAACAATCCTCAGTTCTGCCGATAGGCACAAAATTGACCTCAAACACAGGCACTTTTCCTCGAAATGACAATATACATACATATTATCGATTTGATACAAATTTGGTGAGGGGGTGCAATCGAATCGCGCCGACCAAACCGATCCACAATCGATCTGATTGGTTGAATTTCATTGAGAGGGTTTTGATTGGTTAATAATTTTGAACTCATCTGAGGTAGCCAATCAAATCGATTGAAATTCCAACTAGAAACCACAACACAATGAAATTTCACTCGAATGCACAATAGATTGGAATTCAAACTAATGTATGCATATCAATGGACATGTCCACCAATATATATCTATATATATATCCTATGGATTCGGTATAAGTTTCCAGACGCCGCGGAATCGAATCACGAATCGACGCTATTGATGGGCTCGTCCAATTTAGGTGGATTTGATTGTCTCTTCCAGAAAGGACAAGTCTATTATTCAGCACTAATCCGAACCCTCCCACTGTGAGTCATAATATTGATTAGACAAACCATGCGAATTTCAGAAATATATAGCGAATATTCACAATATATGTGTACACGATACACAGAGAGATGGCGTAGATGCATATGCGTTTGCATTGGCAGAAAACACGAGCGCCGTACCTCCCAGCCCATTTGACGAAGGAATCGCTCGTACGCGGGGCTGCCGCGGTCGTTGCCGAGGATTTCCATCTGCGTCGACTGATTAGGGCCGACGTACACGACGCCAATCTTCATGGTCTCGCGGCTCGGCGCCTTATCCAGGTGCTTGAGCGACCTCTCCAGTTTAACGCCGTTGTCCAGCAGCTGCACGTCGTGGTGGGATGCCACCACGTCATTGGGGAGGATGCCGACGTGGCCGAGGAAGAGGCGGCACATGTCGAGGGGCGCGAGGCGGGTCGATGGCGACGGGGCCGAGAGGGCCGCGGTGGCCTTGGGGTGGAGCAGAGTGTTGGTCGTGGTGCTGGCTTTGACATGCAGCGTCTCGGCGCAAATCCGCACGTTCAGTTCCATCACCTATGCACGGCATTCGAGTTTGTAAAACCCCACTTGACACACATGTCCTAAAGATATATATATATATATATTGTGCTTGTAGCCAAAATATGGATATATATTTGCGTATATTCCGTAAATCAAGCGGTCGAATTGTTTTGTACCAACTTTTAGCTAGTACGACATTTTGCATGTAAAAATTCTAAAACGATTCACACTATTTGAAGTCACACACGAATTCGATGGTTGTTGCTTTGGTCGAGTGAGCATCCCACTCCCACTTCAAATCATCGACTTTCAAGATCTATATATATATCCAAACCTGTATACCATTCGATTGCAAAGCAGCAACCGACATCCACGTAAATACATAAATATATATATAGATAGATAGATATATGGAAGACATGTATTGTGGATTCGGTACAGATTTGCAGACCCCGTCGAATCAAATCGACGCTATTGGCTCATCCAATTTCGAGTCGATTTGATTGGCTCTTATAGAAAAGCAGACAAATATATTCAACCAATCAAAACTCCACCGTGATTCAATATATTTTGATTAGTCCACAAACCACGCGAATAATTTTGGACGTTTATAGCGAATAGACACAAACTTATATAACAATACATCCCACTACTGCTAGAAAAACACACAGGTCAGTCATACATTGAACGCATCGTAGAGCAGCAGTTGATGCGGAATCGGCACGTTGGTCGTCCAAGCGTCTCCTCCGTCTGGATGCGACGGCAGTTGCTTCCTCGCGAGGTGGTCGTTCAATGATACAATGAAGCGATCGAGGAGGCCCCGTCCGTTGCCGTCGTCGAAGCCCAGCGTGGCTTCCACCACGTCCAGGGCAGGCTGAAACAGAGTCAGCGGCAGCACCTGCTGCTGCTGTGGTGGTCGGCTGGTACTTGCGTCCTTTGACGCAGCTACTTGGATGGCTTGCTGGACTTTGGAAGCGATGCCGTACGGGAACTTGACGCTAAAGTTGCTTTCGCTGGACAAGTACTCCCAATACAATAAACTCGCTTGGCTTAGTCGGTCGTTCCCGTCAAACGAACGCTCGTACTTTTTCAGGGCGTCGCTACGTACAGAAATGCGTTGGTGAGAACTTGTATATACATCGACTCAATCCACAACATATAATGTCATATCAACCAATATGAATGATAAACAGTCTATCATGCCCTGCTCAACCACAAACCCCAGGCTTAGCTACTATTGGCTTAGCTCGTGTCACTAGTGCTAATTTATATCCTACTATTGTGAATTCGCTAAAAACTTCCAAAACTCGCGTGGTTTATCTAATCAATATTGAATTACGCTGGGAGAGTTCGGATTGGTTGAATATACTTGTCCATTCTGTAAGTTGAGCCAATCAAATCGACGCAAAAATGGATTAGCCAATACCGTCGATTCGTGATTCGGCGGCGAGATCATTCGATTCAACGGGAGGGTTTGGAAATTGTACCAAATATACCACAATAATGTTGTGTGTATACATACTCTTCTAAACTGGAGCAACATAGGAGAATGAATCGACGACACGACCAAAAAAGTAGTACTCAAACATCGGTATAAACGTATTGAACCCATCCAGGACACCCTCATCAACGTCAAATTCGTGTACGACTTCGTGGTGACTTCAATTAGTGTGATACTTCCAATCGCCACACGATACCTTTTTAAACATATACAAAATTCTGTACAAAGAATCAATCGATTTCGCGAGTGAGCACAATGTGTCAACAGACAATATTGCATTGTATTTATTCTACTCTGGAGCGACAGGGAGAATGAATCATCGACACAACCAAATGGACACAAGAATCATCGGCAGAATTAGGACCTAGCCAATCACATTGCAGGAAACAACCATCCTCCTCAACGTCAAATTAGTGTGTGCCTTCAATTAGTGTGATACTTCCAATCACCACAGCACAAAACTTTTGACATACAACAGTATTCAGTACTCCAATGCATCGATCGATAGATTTGGCGATGATTCAGCCCAAAAGTCAACCAAATTTTGGATCAAAGGACAGACAATACCAGAATTAGGACCTAGCCAATCAGATTGCAGGAAACAACCATCCTCCTCAACGTTGAATTAGTGTGTGACTTCAATTAGTGTGATACTTCCAATCACCACAGCACAACACTTTTGACATACAACAGTATTCAGTACTCCAATGCATCGATCGATAGATTTGGCGATTATTCAGCCCAAAAGTCGACCAAATTTTGGTTAAAAGAAAGACAATACCAGAATTAGGACTTAGCCAATCAGATTGCAGGAAACAACCATCCTCAACGTTGAATTAGTGTGTGCCTTCAATTAGTGTGATACTTCCAATCACCACAGGACAACACTTCTTTTGACATACAACAGTAGTATTCAGTACTCCAATGAATCGATCGATAGATTTGGCGACACAATACCAGAATTCGACCAAGTAGCGGCCGCGGGGGTCCTTGTCCTCGGCCAAGAACGATTTCAAGTACGCGTAGCACTCGTCGTCGTGGACAAGCCGCTGGAAGAAAGAAAACCCGGGCTCGGCCGATGCATCTTTGTGCATGGGTCCCACGCGCGACCTCGTCCGGCGCTCGTCCCACTCCATGTCCAAGTACCGCTGCATCGTGTACCGTCCACCGAGCAGCGTCTTGTCGATGAGGTCGCCGCCGCAGTCGCGGTACTGCATCGGAATGCTGTCCACGAGAAGCTCGAGCAGCGACCGTTCATGATCCAACGACCCAATGTACTCGTGATCGGCGTCAATAGTAAACAAATCGCAAATCGGCAACGGGGGGGCTTTGTCGTCAGACGCATCGGCAGTCGACGACGTCGAACGCGAGTCGTCGGGGACGGACGTGCCAAATGTGGCGCGGCACTGACACACGTACACGTCAAAGTTGCTGCCGGGAGCGGTCAAGCCAGGGTGGGATTCACTGTGGAACATGTATCGCGGCATGGACGGCAGCGTGTTGCCTTTGACGACGACTTTGTTGGCGACTGGAAACGGAAGCAAAGTCGGGGGTGACGGAGGAGTCGGTGCCACGCTGCTGCTGCTACTAGTAGGCACCACGCGACCGCCGCAGATGCTGCACATGTTGGACGCTGGCACGGGGGGCATGTTGGCGTGCACCACCGCGTGGTCCATCACGACCTCGAGACGCTCGCGGCGGTCGTGTTCGGAAACCAACGGGCGGTCCCACGGCTGCTGCACTTGGTCCAGACGAGTGGGGGCTTCCACCGACGGGATAGGGGGGGCCACATGATGACGACTGACCAGATGTTCCGCAGATACACCGGGCATGACGACCGCATCCCATGTAAACGTCCCAGTGACATCCCGCACCACGATGCGCGCCGTTGCCGCGTCCACGCTACATGCAAAAGTGACGATCGTCGGCCCAACACAAGTCAACAGATCCAAAGAAGTCGACCATGCATATATCGGAATTGCTCATGTTTTCGATCGACGCTATTGGCTCATCCAAATGTCCATGGATTTGAGACAAGTATATGTATTCAACCAATCACAACTCTCGTGATTCAATCGATTGATTTGACTAAACCACGCGAATTGTGCAAGTTTATAGCGAATTTACAATATTTGTTGCAATCTCCAAATACGCAAAAGATTTGACCCAATCAGATTGCATCAAGTCAACCAATCAGAATAAGTGTGTATGACTTAACATAGTAGTGTGATGAGCATCCACACAGTTTTACAATATTCCATACACAAAATCCACCAAAGTGCAAATGTTGGCTGAACGATATATAAATATATATATAATCGTGGTCATACCTTCCCACCACGGTCAACACGAGCGAATTCAAGTAAACAAAGCTCAGAGACGTCATGTTGTCGTTGGCTTTGTCGTCGAATTCGGTGCATGTCGACACGAATTGGTCAATGCCGGCCGGCGACGGGAACCCATGCAAATGGTGCAACTATCTCTGCATATCATTCCTTGTACAACATATCATGTTGCAATATATACTTCAATATATATATATATATATCCATACCAGGTGCATCAAAAAGCCTTCTGCCGCTGCCGCAATGTCCGCAAAGCACTATACAACCAAACACGCTGTCAACAATAACACATCCACACATCTATGCAACACCCAGGATACAATAGTAGCAATACTAGTACTACAACAGTACGAATACTACTATCCTACGAGTACTACTGTACGAATATTACTATAGAGTACTACTGAGTACTACAGTACGAGTACTACTACAGTACTAGTAGTCGTAGCCGAACCCACCTGGAGCGATGTCTTGTGTCTGTCGGGGTCAAGCGACACGCGCATGGCAAGTCCAAGGAACAGCAGCGGCGTGTCCATGTTGCGTTTGCGTTTACGTGCGTCCTCGACGGCCGTCTGCCACTCGGACGTCGTGGGGATGCTGCCGATAAGCGCCGCCTCGAGCGCTTGGAAGAGCAGCTTGAGCACGGCGGGGTCATCCAGGAGCGACGTGCATCGCATTAGCCAGTCGGTGAGTCCTTCAAAGATGGCGCGGCTCTTGTTGGCGATCGTCTGAAGTCCGTCCCCAGACTGCTGCTGCTTTGACTGGTTCGATGGGATGTCCGACCCGCTCGGTTTGTCTGGGGCGGACCACGAATTGGATCGTTTCCGCCCTCTCGACATGGGCGGGGTCATGTCTTGGGGGGGATGATTTGTGGGCGATCCGTTGTGGCCGCGCTGGCCTTGGAAATGCAGCGGGGGTGCCATCTGATAGTCTATGGGGGGCGAACCTTCCAGATGGTCACGAATGACCGTGGACGCGTCTTCGACCTGCTGCTGCACGAGCAACGACAGCGCCATCACAATGTGCTGCACCAGGCCAGGCTCGTGGCTAAGTAACGTGGCATGGTACACATGCAATGCATGCACCGCGGCGAGGCCCGTCTGCGACAATGCAACGTCGCGGGACGCACACGTGTCGCAGAGGTAGATCACCAATGTCTTGACCAGTGGGTGCAGAAGACTACCTTGATCAGTAGTCGGCACCGAGTGCAGTTGGAGCACCACGAGGAGGTAGACGCCCCATAGCGCGCGCTGGCGGACTTCCGTCGACGTTGTCCGATGTGGACGGTCCTGCTCCAAATCCACGAGGCGCTGAAAGCACGTCGCTGCCACCGCATGCAACTAGACGAAGTGACATACAATGATCCAGGTACAGTATATATATATATATATATATATATATATATGTATTGTGTATATTCTAAAAACTGGAGCGATATAGGAGAAGGAATAAATCGACGACACAACCAAATAAATGTACACACTCGGGATAATTAGCCAATCACATTGCAGGAAACCATCCGCCACGTCGAGTTACAGGTCACCCAGTGGTTGGTACTTGGATTTGCATTTAGAATTTGTATATGGTATACACATTTCGAAGTTTACTTTGAGAGTATAACATTATTATAGTAGGACACTAGTAATTTGTATTCTTCCACAATATTTTTATTCTCAAATATGGTTGGGTACTGTGTGTGTGATACCAATGTATCAATCACCCCAGGGCACCTCATACAAAATTCAGTACAAAGAATCGATCGATGATCGATCTATATCCACACATCCAAAATGTAAAACCTCCACATACAAAACCCAAGACAAGGCACTTGTTTACCTCGACGTCAAACTCGGCCAAGTGCGGCAGCACCGTGTCGCCACTGCCAACTCGTCCATGGGTCGACGCAACGTCGTGGAGCTTGGCGCGCCAGCTTTCGTGGATGACGTGCGGGTACTGCCCCGGCAATGCCAGCATCCCAAACAACAGCTCGACGCACGCAAGACAGTCGGCTTCCGAGCTACTACCACCACCAGATGACGACAAGGACGTGTAAAACAGCGTGAGGGCGTCGATCGCGTGCAAGAAGGCGGGTACGAGCACGTGGATGCCCGGGGCGCATCGGCCAAACACGGTCGACGCGTGTCTGATGACTGTCGAGAGGACCCGGATGTTGGTCGTGTCTTGGAGCGCGGCGTGGAGTACCCGGCAAAACATGGCGACGTGGGACGGCAGCAGGACATCGCGGCCCTTGGCGGTACACACGAGACAGAGTGTTTCCAACGCGATGGCTTGAGCTGCGTCGAAGTCGCGAGACATGGGCATCTCGCACGACGGAAGGAACCACTCGCCAAAGAGACAGAGGATGGTGCTGGGCGAGATGCCGAGCGCGGGGACGTGGAGGACCCAGTGGGACACGATGTCACGGACGCTGGTCTGCACGGCGAGCAGCAGGTGGGGCTTGAGGCTCGACAGTGTCGCAGACGGACTCATCACGTGCAGGAGGCGGTCGAGGACGATCAGCGCCGCGTCCACGGTCGGCGCGACTTGCTGCGCCACAAACGTCGACGTGAACGCCACGTCTTTGGCGTGGTGCAAGTGATGGTCTGTCGTCGGAGGGGGCACCTTGTCTGACGAACCCGATGGAGGGGGAGTGTAAAACCACTGGACCAGGGCCGAGATCGCAGTCACTTCGACCTTCCACCGCCGGACGAGCTCGGCCGCAAATGCCGCCGACACGGACGGATGTGTGAGCCACTTGCGCACCATCGTGCCGAGCTCAGCCCACACGTCCACCGACGCGCCGTTCGGCTGTACCATCCCATGCATCCACGTGTGAAACACCGCCGCGACCATCGGCACCAAGATGGATGGACCAGGGGGCGTGTCTCGTAAGAAGAAGGATGCGTCGGTTGTGGCCAAGATGGCCTAATGAGTGGTTATAGATAAATATATGGTTGTGAGAATATATATATATAGAAGACCTTGCGGAGGACGGCAAACGAGTGGATGTGCAATGGCTGCTGGGAGAGCAACTCGAGGAGGTCGACGCCGACGATGAAGATGTTGGCGTCGTCAAAATGCACACTCGGGTGAAATACTTGGGACACGTGGGCGATGATCGCGCGGTGCATCTACAGAAACTTGTTTAGGGTACAAACCAACAATGCTCTTGCAAATTTGGAGTCGCATGTCCTTGGCAATATCGGATTCGAGAAAGGTAGTATTGTACAACAATATTGAAAACACAATAGTCAGTACGAGAGTACGTACGTACGTATATATATATATATATATGGTTTACTAGTATATATATATATATGGTTTACTAGTATATATATATGGTTTACTAGTATATATATATGGTTTACTAGTATATATATGTTTACTGTTTGGCAGTAGTCTATAAATTCCCATCAAGAAATTCAATATACATATATACATTGTGGATTCATTATATTTGAAATCAAAGCATGAATCGATGTTGAGTGCGAATCCAATTTTGAGTGGATCTGATTGGCTCTTACAGAAGCGACACGTATATTCAGCCAATCAGAACGCTTGAAAATCCACACGACGTTTTTCAAAGTTTCGAATCACATCCTCCACGAAATCAATCAAACTACTCAACCATCCAATGTGAGACTCAAACAACTTGCATGTCATCTCTCTCTGAAACTCAATTCAGTTGCTGTGCATCGTTCTTACCTCGTGGAATGAGTCCTTCATGGCGGGGGGGATGTACTGCGTGCCTTTGCACAGCTGGGAGTAAAACTTGATGCCGTCGAGGATAAGCTCGGGGTCTCTGTACGCGAACCGCTGGCGCAGGGTCTCCATGATCACGTCCACGTACTCCTTGTGCACCCACAGCGCGTCCATAAACTTGGGTTTCGAGCGCAGTTTGTACAGCCATCGCGCCATCACGCGCTGAAAGCTCCCGGGGCAGTGGTGGAAGAAGCCAACCTTGTCGGCTTTCTCCTTGAACCCGACGTCAATGCATGTCTTGGGGTACAGAAGCGGCATGTACGAGTGCATGAGCACGTGGCACCAAAAGAGGAAGCGCTGGACGTCGACGTCCGAGATGTTGTCGCTGCGCTCGAGACTCAGGTCCATCACGTACTTGAGCATGTCCACAGGCTCTTCGGCCTGTGTCGGCCCCCCGCGCTCCCATCCGAGGACAGACCCGACCGTGTACACGCGGATAGGCAGCACCACGTTTGAGTTGCCGCTCGCATACGGCGAAAAGTCAATGGATTCGGCAAGGAGGTCGAGGTGGGAGAAGCCGAACCCGATGTTGACCGCCATGTCGGCCGAAGGCGGGATCGAGCTCGAAGCCGACGACAGAGATGGAGGGGGGGAAGGATTCGGCGTCAGCAGCTGCGCCGTGTTGCGCAAGCCAAAGTCCATGTCCATGAGGATGTCCGAGTAGAGCGCGAGGCACCTAGGGGGGTACCGCAGTATGCGTCGTAAGGAGTACGAAAAAAGCCGTCGAATATGGAGAAAGGATACACACCTGAAGGCGTATTTCTTGATGTACGCAATGTTGTCGGCCAGGAGAAGTTTCTGGAAGATCTGAAGGAACCGATTGTGCTGCCATCCCGACGCCAACAGCCCCTTGTTCGACTTGATCAGCACCTCCAACCCCTCAAACACGTCGGTCCAATCGTCGGTTTGGAACTTCTTGGTGCGCATCTTGTCGATGAGATTCTTCTTCTCCGGGGCAACGTACATCGTCTCCAGCTCGGTCAGGTACGCGTGAAGGACGCTAAAGAACATGCTGCCGTGAGCGACTTCACCCCAGAACAGGTCTTGTTGCTCGCTAGTGCTGGTCTTGAGAAACTCGAGCGCGGTCGCCAGCCGCTTCCGAGGGGGCTTGTCTTCGGCGAAGAACCGACTGAGCTTCTTCATGTCGAGCTGCGGATGCGATGATGCCAGGGCGTTACTCGACGCATTCGAACTGGACCCTAATTGCATGGGAGGAGCGTGGTCGTCGTCGTCGTCGAGGATATGGAGATGATGTCCTCGGCCTCGCGGCAAGTTGGGCGATGTGACTGAACGGCAAACAAATGTGGCAGACTATCGGCGCTCCGGGGCGCGTGCGATTCCTCGACTGGCGCTCCGGAGCACAGATATAGCACTTTTTGAATTGTTTCAAAATAATATTCTATTTTATGGCAAAATGGTTGCCAGACATAACCAAATTGCGATTTTCAAAATGGAGGTAAAAAGGTCCAATATTTTGAAATAATATCGCGTTTTGGACCCCTTCAACGAGTAAATCCCACGTGGAATTATTGGATTTGGGTTAAAACTCGTCAAGCCCACACAAAAATTTATATCAAATAATATTCTGACAGAGAATTCCCTGGGAGGTGAGAAAATATGTTCAAAATATTTGATATGACATCTGGACGCCATGGTCGATATAAAGTACATGTACTCCGTAGGTAAAAATTGGACAGTTGCAGTTCAAACTTGTTTCTGTCAGAAAACAGTAAAAATTCGGCGTATTATGTCACTTTATAAATGTGAGATTTGGTAGCCAAACACATTAAAAGCTGTCGTTTGAAAAATTGTCAACATATTTGTGAAAAGTTGCAAAACGAGATGTTTTCTGACATTTTTTTGTGGCAGCCAGAGTGGCCCTAATACATTTTCTATATTTTTTGAACATATAATACATACATATGCCCATCTAAGTTAGAACTAATACTAAGACTTTTAAAATGGATACAAATTCGTTTAAGGTGCGTCTGGCAATCTGAAATATTAGGGTGCGTCTGGAACCGGAAATATTGCAAGATTGACGCCAACAAATCTGATCAAAATTGAAACATGTGTTCATCCAGACTCAGCCTTAGGGACTCTGGCTGCCACAAAAAATGTCCGAAAAAACCTCTTTTGCAACTTTTCATATATATTTTGACAATTTTTCAAACTGTGTGTTACCAAATCTGACATATACTGTACTACTGTATTAATAGTATACAGTAACATAATGCGTCGAATTTTTACTGTGAAAAAATTTCCACTGCAACTGTCCAATGGCAGATAAAGATATCTACTAACTGTAAGTTAGTACTCCCGGAGTAGTAAGTTTCAAATCTCCACCAAAATGATATGGTATTGGTAACGTTTTACTAGTACTACTAGCCAACTATATCCGGGAGTTTCCGGATAAGGAGGCCACTGCGACGGTTCCTTTGAGGATCCATACGCACGATGTCGTCGAAGCGGTCGAAGAAGGATGGCGAAACTAAGACTGAAGGTGACGGGGACAAGAAGAAGTCCAAGAGTAAGAAGAAGGAGAAAGCACCATCGAAAGAGCCCAAGGAACCCAAAGAGCCCAAGGAGAAAGCACCAGTTGTAGAACCGCCAACGACGACGCAGGCACCCCCGCCTCCCGTCATCGAGTATGTATATGTATGCACTGTGCTCATACCACGTCCACCTTCCATCCATACATTCTAGGCAGCCCGAAATCAACGATCCGGATGCTATCCAGCTCTTTCGCCGGTGTGTTCGGTCGTTCTCTCGCCACGTCGATCATCATCTCTCGGTGTAGATACGACCGTGAAAAGGCCAACCACGTCACGCGCAGCGACTTCCTAGACCTTTTGCGTGACTATACGACATGGTACCCCGGAAGGAAGTGGAACATGCCAGTCATGCCATGCGCGCTCACGGACGCGGCGGGGGTCCCGCTCGGCTTTGAACGCACGTCGCGCAACTCCGAGTTCGAGGCCGGGCAGCTCTTTGAACGGTTCTCGCCTCACATCTCCATCATCGTCGTGCGTGCGTATTGCTCATCAAGCGTATGTGCAGCTACGACACGAATCGATCAGGAACGTTGGAGCTTGGCGAGTTCCAACTTTTCTTCAGGGATTTCAAAAAGCAGTTGGCCCCGTTCGTGGACGAAATGCTCGCGGCATTTCACGCAACGCCACCGCTGTCACGGTACCGTACATCAATCGCCATGGATATGTTAAACTTGGATAGATATGTAATAACCATAGTTGCATATACTCCAACAAGTTTCGAAACTTCATACTATATGGTGCTTTATTAGAATGGGCTTTGACTCGGCGGGGCTACCCCGACGCCATCCTCCCACCAACTCGTTTGGCGAGCCAACGACAACCAACCCCTGGCAGCAACGTCCGCCCAACCACGACGTAAGCTATACCGGTTCTTGTACTGTAGCTACCTACGTATGCAGAATGGTTTGTCTTGGAGCTTGTATCCTCGTGTTGTGCTGCCAACTCACTCACGGGAATGTGGTGGCAATACGTCATGTAGTCGTCCCAGCGAGTGTTTGATACAAGGCACTTGTACGAGTCCAAACTCGACCAGCTGCATGCGTTGAGTGAAAAGACATTGCGCCACTTGCAACTCCAAAAGGTATTATTAGTTCATACAGTTGTGAACCAGCATCCTCTGGAATATTATATTTTGGAATTATCGACGTAATAATGGACAAAATACATGGTCGAAATATATAGAATAGTTGAGCGAATCAGAATAATTGTGTAATTAGTTGGACCATGGTCAGTATCCGCGCCACCAAGCCGCCACCGCGACTTTGCCGACATGGACGCGACACGCACCACCGCCTTCCATGGTAAATTGGACCTACATAACAACATTGTACCCTTACCAACCATAGTACAAGGAATTGTCGGTGCTACCTTCTAGTTGAATCCGGGTCACAGTACTGTGGCTTCATCTCGTTGATGAATGAATGCATGCAAGTAGATGCCTCACCACCACCACAACACCAGTGCCCCCCGCTGGCACGACATGGATGAACTTGAAAGAGACTTAGCGTTTGTGGATCGAATATACACCGACACCACCAAGTTCATGGAGCAGGCGCATCGGGTCGTGTCGATTGAAGACATGAATGCGTTCCTAGATGAGTTTCCACGGGTAGAAGACACAAACAAGATGAAATCATGCACGACATACGAGTGCCTCTTGGTTTTGGCTAGATGCACGGGATGGTCCAACAAATAGCCGCGAAAACCTATGCGCAATCCCCACCGGTAAACTCACATCAACCAACACACAGTAGCAGCAAAAACGACGTTGATCGGGACAAGCTGGTCAAGGTCAAAGACCAGGTGGATTTTGAATATATATATATATATATAATATATATATAGCTCACACTTGATTATTTGTATGGTTGTAGATGATTTGGGGGTTGCTGCAAGAACGGAATGAACTGAGGCGGCAGCGGGATGCTATCGACGCTCAATTCCGTCACATGACCGAGTTGAGTGCCCAGGAAATGCGAAAATGGGCCAAGTGCGTCTATATTAATATATACAACACTTATATGCAACTTATTTATCGACGATCTATTTTCGTTAGACTCACGGACGACATGCAAGCAGAAATAGAACGGCTGCGGGGGTGACCAAAGTTGCGATGTACACGTTAGCTGCTGTACATCTCTCCGAGACACTGGAGCTTCCAAAATATCCTGCGACAACTTATAAAAGTGTATATTGCAGTTGTAATACCACCAACCATTGAGATCCAAACATATTTTGACTTATAATTTAAAGCCCGAGAATGTCGAACGTTGGCAGCGCCGTGCAAAACGTGAGCACGGCTGGGTCCAAGAGCGCAAAAGTTTTGCGGTCCACGCTCAACGTGTGCAAGTTTGGGAGGGTCGTGATGGACCGTGGCAGCGACTGCAAATCTACATATATATATAAATATACAATATCCTCAGAGCATTGAAGTTGGACAAACGTCGATCGTTGCATATACGTTTAGTATTCAAGGTGTACCATTGCGATCGACAAGTAACGCGGTAAGTTGTGTGCACTGGCTGAGCTCGGACGGAAGAACTTGCAGCTGATTGCCTGCTAGCCACAACGTGTGCATCCCACGCATTTGGCCTATGGCCGCTCCAATCTACTAGTAAACTCCATGATCCAGTCCATATCTCGTCGGCTGCAGTATATCTATGCATACCTCGACCAGAGCATTGTTGGACACGTTGAGGAAGTGCAAAGCTGGCAACGCTTCCAAACCCCGGGGCAATCTCGAGAGTCTATTGTTGGACACGTGGAACTCTTGCAGGCAGGCCAAGCATGCCCATGTGCCGTGATTGGCATCATTTGTCGACGAGGATGCTGTAGAGTCGGAGTCGTTGTCGTCTGGGAGCTGGACGAGGCCGTTTTCAGACAAGTCCAAGTACACCAACTTTGTCAGGTGGAACAGCGTCGCGTCGACCGCGTTGAGCCTGGTGGACATGTTCATATATATATATATATGTATGTTTGTCAAGAGCTATGAAAAAGCAATAATATACCGGGTAGATCGTACTAGAATACGAAAGTAGGGGGATGATGATGATGCCAACGACGTACTTGTTTTGGGTATACGTGAGCACGCGCAGCCGTCGCATGCCGTCCAAGGCGGCGGCGGGGAACGTGTCGATGCGGTTACTTGTCAAGCCTATTTATGTCTTAACGACTAGCACTAGGACCAATACCCCACTCAAATTTCGCAGGTTGACGAGCGACGCACATATCGCAGGCAGCTCCAGCAGTCTGTTGCCTACAGCCATTTCAATCAACACACAAAGATATACGTAGAAATATGTATATATATATATAGAGAGAGAGATCAAAAGGGAAGGATTACTCTGAAGCGACAATGTGTGCAGCTGCTGCAATGCCCCCAACCCAATTGGCAGCTGCTTGAGCAAGTTCCGCGTCAGTCGCAACGTCGTGACCGCTGGCGCCGTCTGCCATTCTTCCGGCAGCATGCAGATCTTGTTGTCGCTCGCGTCCAGCTCCGTCAACCTAGCCAGTACATGGTATTCGTTTTTATCATGGAGTCGGCATCGCAGCACGCCATAACGAGATGATGCTGGCTGGTCATAGCCAATGGAGTGTTGTGGATACTACCTAGGCAACAGAACGATTGAAAACGGCAGGGCGGAGAGGACGTTGTGTTGCACGAACACACGCTCGAGGGCTTGGAGGTCGCCAAGCGCCGGCGGTAGCGTCTCCAGGCGGTTGTGATGCAGCCACAGGCGCTGTAGCGACGTCAGTTCGCTAAACGTTGGCTAAAGTACATGTACACCTAATATATGAATCTCATCCGTCGTTGTCGAACGAGTCGCTAGGTGTACACACATGCAAAGATGCCAATTGGTTCCAACTCGCGTCGAAATCACGCAGTCGGACGAGCTTGTTGAATGAAAACGGCAATTCCACGAGCTGGTTGTGGTCTACTTGCAACCGTCTACAAACATGAACGGTGGTGATTCCCACGACACTATGCCAACGAAGGACATGATACTGTCGTACTCTAGAGCGACGAGGCGGCCAAAACTCGCGGGAAGCTGCGCGATCCCATTCCCAGAAAGCCGCAAGTCCGTCAAGGTCGACCCGAGGAGATGCGACACGAAAGACGGCGGCACGATCGTGACAAGCTTCGGGTTGTCGTCGGTGCGTCGGTTGGACCAGTCCAGTTCCACGCAGTTGTTCTTCGCAGCGTCGGCAGCCGCCGCCAGCAGCGATTGTCCTCCGCCCATATATGTATAGGTCACACACAGTCTATCGTTCGTGTAATGCAAGCAAGGCGGTGGCGTTGCCACCTCATTTGCCTGTTTGTTCGGATAAAAAAACTGAAACGGCTGTCGTATCCGGACAATTTGCATTTACGGTTACTGCATGTTAAAAAACGAAACTCAGGTGAATTACGACCTACGGCGACGCACTCGCTAGTTATCGTCCCGAGTTGGGGCTAAATGATACACATCCTGCCGCGCTGGCTCACTAGCCCAACGTGGCGGTGTTGAGGGAGACTGTGTGGACAACTACTGATGACAACTAGAACAGGTTGAACGCGTCGAACGCTGCCTTGTCGTCGCCAGTGAGCACCACGGCCGTGTCTTCTGTGGATTCTGGGTACTGGTCAAAATTGCCGTGGTCGCCGGGGCCGTGGATTGGCGGCAAGTACGGCGGAGTATCCCCTTTGGAAATCACGGAATTCCAGTCCACGTTTGCAAAGTACTTGTGCTTCTTGACGTCTTCGGCGCCATTTCGAAGGCAGCCTACCATCACAACGTCCGTGGTCATCTCTCGTGTTGCCACGTCATCACACCGTACCCAGCCTCTTGGTTCGATCGTGCGTAAGCAGCTTCTTTATTAAGTCCTTTGCCTTGCTGTCTATGTACCGTGGGTATTCCACCTTGCCCGTGAGGATTTTCTGGTAAATCCCAAACGGATTCTCGTCGTAGAATGGCGGGTACCTAATAATCACCAAGATCGTCATTGAGTACTACTCAATTCGACACACGAATGAGAAAACAGGTACTTACCCTGCCAGCATTTCATAGATCAAGACGCCGATAGCCCACCAGTCGACCGACTTGCCATGCCCCTTGCTCTGAATGATCTCGGGTGCTAAGTACTCTGGTGTCCCACACAGCGTCCACGTTTTGTCCTCTACACGTTTAGCGAATCCAAAGTCCGTGATCTTGATGCTGCCGTCGTGGGTGATGAGGAGGTTCTCTGGTTTCAGGTCGCGGTAGATGATGTGTAGCCCGTGGAGATACGCGATGGCAAGGACCAGCTGGGACGCATAGTAGCGCGACGCGTCGTCCGTGAGCTTTCCTTGCCGGCGCAAGTACGAGAACAACTCGCCACCGGGTACGTATTCGAGCACAAGGTACAACCGCTTCTCGTCCTGGAAGCTGCCGAGGAAGTTGACGATGAACGGGTGGTCGATCTTGCTTAGGATCTCCACTTCGCATTTGATGTGGTGCAGTTGCTGCAGCCGAATGATCTCGCACTTTTTCAAGATCTTCAGCGCGTAGTAGGTGTTGTTCTCTTTGTGCTTGACCAGGCGCACGCGGCCGAACGTGCCCGTGCCGAGCGTGGCCAAGATTTCAAAGCTATCGTACTCGACCTTCATCATCGGCTTGGTTGGTAAATCCATGGTGGGTTGCTTTCTACAGGCAGTGACCGTTCAGATGCAATTACACGTTGGACCACACAACATGCCAACGACGGTTTGCGGACACGTACGTACCGTGAATGTGTCCTTCACGGAGACGTTCTATCGCTCTGCCGTCAATCTCACGCAGCAGCCTTGATCACCTGTTGGTCGCTTGCTTGGGGTACCTCTAGTCAACGGGTGCCGGTTCGTCTAAGGACTTGTCGTCGGGGAAGTTACACTTTGAGCGCCCCCTTACAAACACTTCTTTGACTGTGTAACCCATCAACTCAAAGATATATTCCAAAAACAACACGGAATCGTATCCGGAACATTCCGGATAAACGATCGTTCGACATTTTTTTCCCAAACGCCGTGTGTTCATATAAATCCGGTATACTTGGATCCAGTCATTTAAAAATGGAATACATCATCCGGATACGGGATCGCGGAGCGGTCGGTTCAACAGTCGGGCCTTGAAGCACGCACACCAACATGCTGTTGGAGGAGCTCCAGGTGGTGCTACTTCCGAGGATAGGCACGATCAATTGTGCATGTCAAGAGATGTCGTTCAAAGTGAAGGGCGGTAGAGGGTGATGGTTTTATCTTAGACGCGCGTGTGCGCCATGATAAAATGCCAATCTCCATGTGATGTTTGTTGTCCTTTGAAAATGGATCCAAACGTGGCTTAAGGGGCGATGCGGTTGTGCATGTGCAGGAAATGCAAACGGTGTCTCGTGGCCAAGCTACCCAACGGCAACTAGCCCGCTACCTTCCTTTCAGTTCTCATTCTCTCAACGACGTTCTCTCCTTCTCGATAATCTGCCAAGGTATATTCCTACTGGCAATACTACACAATGGCCTTCTTCTTCTGGTCTTTTTCTCTCCATTGCAGGTCCTTCAGTCCCTGGACTGTTGGAGGGGAGCTACAGTAACTCACTCACGAAGATAGCATGTCCATTTGTCTAAGTGTAGCCCGCAGCCCCAAGAAGTGCAGAACTGCACGTGAACTTTCAACTCGACGGGTTCAGAACTCAAGGGGCTAAGATTGGTGACTGTGTGTGCCCATTTGGCTTGTCTACACTCGAGGGTGAGGCAGGCTCAGTCTTCAATGGCGCACTACCTTTCACTATCCACGGGGTGGTAATCCCAACCTTTGGATTGAGGGATTGCATACTGTTACACTCGAGGGTAGGACATGCATGTTGTCTAGGACCTTGCTTTGGTACTCCGGAAGACGTCGCCGTTGCTGGTATCTTGAGCTAATCTAAGTACGAATTTGGGGGGTGTCTCAATGGTTTGTGTGACTACAGCAGTAAGGGTACTTGAAATCCTACACAGAAATATCACGTCGTGTTAGACACAAATTCCTACACAGAAATATCACGTCGTGTTAGACACAAAATCTCGTGATAGGGTTGTAGAACGAAGCAAATTGGTGGCGTGAAAAAGTGTGCACGCACTACGTACATGTTGCACTTTACATCCCCCTTGTTGTCCAAGCGTGGGAGACGGTACCCTGCATCCTGCATTACGAAAACAATGGTCAGGTTTATAGATACTAGTGCCTAAATGAGGGCTCCGTCTTCGGGTTGTTGTGGCGGCTCGTACGTAGGCTTCCAATCGGCTACTGGGAATGCACCATGCCTTCGATCGTGGCCTTGGTTTCTTCGGGGGATCCCGTCTTCAAACTGCACGTCCCGTTCGCTAGGCTCCTAACCCCGTGGCTTGTGATGTCCGACGCTCCAAAGTTGCACATCCCATGACATCCATAAACCAGAGGCCACATGTCTACCGGAAAGCATGGAGGACGGGGGTCATGACGTATGTGGGCGTGGCCTCACAGTCACATTGAACGCTAGATGGCCTCACTCGCGCTGCAAGATGAGGTAGCGCTGCAGCTGCTGCTTCTCCACCGTCCATGATGCGGTTTCGATGACGAGCATGTTGGCACTCACGTGCGAATGACCTTGTGGTCGATAACATCGTCCACGAGAGGCATGCAGATGGCCTTGTCCTGACCCACGCTAAATCGCCCATGGCTAAGTGGTTCATGCCATTCTAGTACTTTTTCTGGTCGATATAGTTCATCGTGTACCCCCTTGTGCGAGCAATGCACGAAATGCCATCGATCTCCTGGGCGTCGTCGACCCCTAGGAAGTGACTTCCCAAGTCCATCGCGTGCAACCTTCATTTGGGTTTGGTACACCATGTTCAGTACATCAAAAATGCGTCGACTTCCAGCGACGATGACCCCAATGGTGTGGCCCTACATATCGTATGAAGACATTGTTCGCGTTGTATTCCAGTTGGCTGTACTAAGTGGGCCACGGCGCCGAGTTGGCCCTGCCGCCTTTTAATGTGTCTAGCAGCTGTACGTTTTGAGTCATGTAAAATCGCTTGGTGGCCATGAGTTTCTCCACACGAGCATCGCCTGATGTGGCCACAGTTCCCGCTTGAGCAGCGCTCCCTCCTCTCCCCAACGGATAGTTTGCACCGCAGCTCCGTTTCCAGATGGGCCACTTGGAACCACAATGCGTCGAGTGTGTTCTGCGCACACCAACATAAATATGAGGGCTGGTGTTCACATGCTGAAGACCAACCTCTTCGTTTGCCCGCCACCGGCGAGTCGATTTCCTCGACTGTTCTCATTTCTTTTTCCGCTATCGTTCGCGAAAGATGCATCCACAGATGTCGACATCATGGAATTATGGACGACGCGCGGCATTCATCGGCTTTGGATCCTATCCTGAAATTGGTGGTAGGTGTCGCGAGGAGATGTGATGCAGTGGTGATCTGCTTGGGAAATGCTGTGTATTTTTAGATTCGCAACATGGACGACTACAGTAGCCGCCAGTAGTAGATTGGTTAGGGCATTCTCGCTCGCACAAACACTTCGAATCGACATTGCGAGAAGACCATACTTTCCACGGTGGCGCTGGCATCTTCGGAGGGGGCCTTGTTCAAACACACGTGCCCACGAGCTGTCTCGTGTATGCCCACGGCGTGATGTTGGTGGCTTCAAAGCTATACAATCGAATATGATCCTATCATGCGTGGTGTGGCCCAGTATGATACCAAAAGGCATGGGGCGCGGGGACCAGGTTCTCGGAGAGCGCGGTGACTGTAACGGTGTACTCATTGGACATGCTCAGCTCGCGATGCACGACGAGGTAGCGCCGCTCAAGGTGGTTTGGGTTGGACAACGTCCAGGATGTGGTTTCGATCACAGTCATGGCGACATTCAATGTCGGAACTACCTACACAGCTGTACTTTAGTTAGGTACGTACATCCATCCCCCACTACCTACGACATTGTTTTTTATCGTACCTTGTGGTCGGCAACTCGATTCGCAAGGGGCAAGAACATGGAGCGATCTTGGTACGCCCCCCGCGACACGGCCACACATGAGATGCCGTTGATGTTATGTTCCGCGCCGCTGAAGTGCCTGCGCAGGTCCATCGCCCGGAGCTTCACTTGGGTTTGCTGGGTAATGTACAGCAGGAACGAATCGTCGTACAGCGTCGCTTGGGTGTTTAGGGGATCTACACGGCTCATCTGCCATCAAAATGGACGTCACAATGGCGAAGTTGCAAGGGAGAAACTCTACCAGGCTCGCGACGTGGTTGAGGTTGTCCATGTGCATCTTGAGCGCTTCCTGCAGTTGCATATTCTGAGCAATGAAGAATCGCTTCTTGGCCAAGCGCTGGTCCAAGCGATAGTCATGACCTTCGACGGACGCTGAAATCATAGCGTGGACACCAGTCCCTACAACCGACAATTTTCCCTTGAGCTCCGCCTCGAGGTCGTTCACTTGCTGCCTCAGGGTGTCGAGTATTGTCTGAAGGAGCAACTTCGGGTCCCAATGATGGACAGTAGTTTCAAGGAGGCGACGATTCACCTGTTCGTTGGCGCGCCATCGCCGTATGGATGCCCTAGACTGCTCTCGCCTTCGCGCTATGACCGTCATATCCCTGTCCTTGCCTTTGGTCATCATGTGGGCTTCGAGTTTTGGGTGTACTTCGTCCACTTTGAGCCATATTGGGTGTTTGTGGACGACGTGGCGATAGCCCAGTCAATAATGAAATGGTAACCAAAATCAGGGAAACGTCGAATTCGATGAATGAACTATGTAAACTATGGGACACATCTGAATTAGAATCGAGAGGGCATCCGTATACTCATCTCCACCGCAACGCAACGTGTAAAGTTGTCACTGCTGTTATGATGAGTCATTTGGGGGGGCGGTGCAGTGGATGCCATAAATTGTTACAAGCCCTCCACGTTGGGGCAGACGGCGGACAGACATGGGTGCACACGTATGTGTAGCCAATGACCCTTGTACATTTGTACCTCCTGGTTCGTTCGTTGGATTGGTGGTGGTAGTTATTACTATTCATCCTACGGTCGACTACAGCCGTCGAAATCGCTAAATTATGAGTTTGTATCAAACGACAAGTTGTCGACTACCTGCTGGTCCCACGAGGGCCAATGTCAGGTTAACGTTAACTAAAACGCATTATTGCGATGAGTACCGTCAGTCCAGAAAACTCGCTACGGTGTACCTGATGCCCAGCTAGGTTGAAACTTCAGAGACCTTGGTGGACCTACTGCATGATGTCGCCTCATTGAACAGTAGCATAACGAGCTAGACATGTATATGTTGAAGGGCTTGTATACCGACGACGCTAATGCGATCATGTGTATGTACTAAGGGTTCGCTCAAACGTACGAGACATTTCGGAAGCTGGAACTGCGAATGGCTCGTCGTCATTTGCTGGTGGAGGGGAGTTGAGCCGCTTCAAGCGCGGAGAATCTGGTGTAGTCCCCCCTAAACCAGGGCTTCTAGTCCAATCATACTTGGTAGCCCCTGGAGAGTGGAAGGCGAGAACAACGTGCAATCTCAGCGCGATGGGAACTGGAATGTTGGTTCTTTCAGCATAGGCACAGACAGATTGCTATATGTATACGTCAACAATCCTAGTATGGGTTACGTCCAATAATCGTTGCCAACGTGGACCATGTGGTGTTATTGTTCGTGGATGACCTGCCTGTCGACCACAGGAACTCCACGAGTGACAGACGCTTGTGATTCTCCAACATACTTAGTATTAATAACGTTTAAATCGCCAAGCGTCGGAGGTTCTGTAGCTCGTGGTTGCCAGGATGGTCAACACTTCGCGTGTAAATTCGATATTAGATCGCAGTACAGTGTGCCTCGATATCCTCCAAACTTTCAATTGCGCATTCGTCAGTACCGAAATGTATCGAGTGTGAACGTTCACTATGAGATGCAAAAATATGGTGAGAACAATACCAGTGTTGGGTGGCCCTCGTCGATTTCACCAACCAGACCACATTGTGAAGCGTCATTTTACCGCACAGATGTGTGATGGGAGGATCCCAGAGGTTTTGGCATTGGCCGTCCAATACAGTACCATGAATGTACACCGTACCAACGCCTTTCAAATTGGTGAGGGCTCACGTGGAGTAGTTCTACGTATCACATCGCTGACTTTGAAAGCAATGGGTCAACCCTACTGAAAGGGGTCTTTTTCTAATCGTAGCGGAAATGGTTGGCCCACGACCTTGCACTACAGTACAGTACTGTTTGTACTACCAGTTGTAGGAATTGTGCTCGTCTCAACCTGTGTGGAAGTTGCCCATTTTGAACGCGGATTAAGAGTAATTTGATCATTTTATCATGCATTTGTTCAACTTCAACAGTGAAATCTCGTCAACTGCACACGACATTCCTTCCACGCATAAAATCTAGAAGTGTGCACTATGAACCTTACGAATCAATAGTTTCATCATCTTACGGGATACTTCAACCCCCCTATCGACGAAAACCAACACGTCGTCGCAATGGCGATCGCTGCTACTGTATGTACCGCTCGCTACAGTCCTCCGAACTACACGCACAAGAACCCCCGCGATGCACCATGAAGTCAGGACGGTGATGCTACGGTTGATGTTTGGCCAATCCGCCAGCGAGGCAGTGAGGGAGAGAGACGACGGTGGCCAACCTCACACTGGTCATTTCAGCGCATTCGAAGTTGGGCTGATCGAAGATTCATCTGGTGTTTTTCACAACTCAGCTTTTTCTTATTTCAACACGCACGCTCGTGGGAAATAAAATTCTGAAGTTTAATTCCTCTTACAAAACGCAAGACAATAGTGTTCAATACAATCCCGAAAGCGACAAGCCGTCGAATATTGCAGTGTACAGTCGCTTGCCTCCTCTTCCATTCTCGAAAGTGGCGGGCGCCATCTTGCCGAGAGAACTAGATACCTCGTTGGAGTCTCGAAGACAATCCATGCACCGACAGTGCATAGATCGAGTGTATAAACGTCAAGAGGCTGGCAGAGTGACACCTGTGTGGCCGGATATGCCGCAAGCGCCGCCCCGACGGCTGCCGACCGACGGCGGAAATAACTCGCTCGCACATCATTCTCCCCCGAAACTCCTTCGAGTATTTTATTGTACCTATCAAATTAAACTTGGAGTTTGTACGCAATACAATGAAATGACGCCGTCACGCTGAATATTCGTTTTTTTTTGGGTTGAGGGAGACTTTCGACGTTGCACACACGGCGTGGAACGTTTCACTTCAAAAATATTCCCAGGGTATTCTGTTGCAATTAAATAAGTCGTCAACTAATTTTTTTAACCAAGCAGTGATCGCCTACAAACGGCAAGGTATTTTGAGTTGCACGGATTTTACAATTATATATACAAGCACCCAGATAGGTTTCTGAACAGTTGACAGCGAAGCCCAAGCGCAGAACGGGTCATTTCCCATTTGTCGACCGACGTGTTGTGGCCGCCGCTTCCGTCCGACTTTACCACCGCAGCGTACTCCCCCGCGCCACCGTCTTACCCACTCAAGCTCACCGTCGCCATGCAAAACACATCAGGAATACTACCAAGCTCGTCATCCAGTGCTGCTGACCCATCGCCTGCTCCCACTAACGCGGAGCCTCAGACAGCGACCGTCATGACTACTGCCCCTGCCACGTCCACGTCCGACTCGACGTCTAGCCGAAGAATAGCAGTTCCTCGAAGCCAAAAGGCGGTCCATTGTCCAGATGAGTGCACTACTGCCGTGGTCACTCCCATGGAAGCAGCCTCAGCTTCCATTCTTCCTCTCGTTACCGTGGTCGAAGAACCAACAAAGGACTCGCTTACAGCTCCGACGCAGGGTAACAAACGGCGGTGCTGGACATGCAAGGGCAAGATCTCGCTGTCGGCCGTGACTTGTCGCTGCGGGTACACGTTTTGCAATCGCCACCGATACGCAGAAGAGCACGACTGCCTCTTCGACTTTCGACAAATGGCCAAGCGCAAGTTGGCAGAAGAAAACCCACGAGTCGTGCCGCTGAAGGTTGCTCGTATCAATTAGGCGAGCACGTGGCCGTCGGTTAGGTTTAGTTATGTATTAGTACAGCCTGTTGGTTGCACCACCTCGATTGAAATGACTTTGTACTTTTAGTTGTGGTCACGGACTAATAGCGTTGTCTCATGCGGAGATGTTTCTAGCACTGCGCTGTTGCGTCGTTCCCAGCGACACTTAATGCTGTGCCGCATCCATCCACGGCCAGGAATTGTTGCATTGCTATGCCAGTTGGGAGGGATATTATACTGCAATGTCTACCCCAACTTAGTGACTACCCTCGTTCACAATAATTATTTATTTGCTTTGGTGTTTGTACGGAGGATTGATTTTATCTTATTTTATACTGCATGAAGTCAAAAACTCTGGTTCGGTGATTGTTTATCTGGACGAAAAAACGCAGGGTAGTTTTACGGTGGCTCTGAGACGAGCCATCTTGGACGTTTCACCCAGGGATAAACCGGCTTTTATGCTGGTTTAGTGGGGCATTCGGTGTGAATATCCCAACTGCGATTATGTTGACTTCGAACTTCGACGTACAATCACGTAGTACTTCGCCAGTAGTACTCTATTAAAATAGAGACTTCGAAGTACAGTATTACAGTACGCATTCGAATTCGACTTTAAGAGGTAGCAGGTAATTATGCATATGATTCTGATGTTGAATTAACAAGTACACGGGATATATTTTATATAATACTACGTAGTAATATGACTTATAAATTGTTTTTATAAGACCTTGCAAAATCTGGCTGACAATCCTGCGCTTCCGATAGTCAATCCTGTGTAAACAACACCCCCCCCCGCCCGGTACGGTATGACAATCCTGCCCAAGATCGACAGATTCGGCGTTCTATTATCTGTTGCCAGCAATGCAGCACCGCCATGACCACCCCCACGACCATACGTATGGTCATTCGCACGTTCATAGCTCGCATGAAGGGGAAGAGGAAGTTGTGGGACGCTTCAAGCATCGGTTTGGCCGCATTCCAACGCCAGCCGAGTACACCCAACTGATTGAACACGGGCACATCCACGAGCGCCTCGACCACGCAGGAGTCTTCGATGAGCGCGAGCCGGCAAAGTCTCTCCGTGATTTCGAAGAGCGAGCGTTTACGATTGGCATTGGTGGGCCCGTCGGCAGTGGGTACGCATCCAACCAGAGTTATCCCTCGCATGACGATCGAAATTGGTAGCAAAACTGCACTGATGCTGGCGTTGTGCGAAGCTTTGCGGGACACGTACAGCCTAGCAGCGGTATATGACCACACGTCGGCACGTCGATAGCTTAACATGTTAGCGTGGCCACATGTAGGTGACCAACGACATCTTTACAAAGGAAGATGGCGAATTCCTTGTGGCGCATCATGCGTTGCCGGAAACGCGCATTCGCGCCGTCGAGACGGGCGGGTGTCCACATGCCGCCATTCGCGAAGACATTTCCGCCAACTTGCAAGCGTGTGAAGACTTGTCAAGCCAATTTGCGCTCGACATGGTGCTGGTGGAATCAGGCGGAGGTACTTTTTACATACCATCCCTTGGATTCTTTCGCGAGAACTAGAAAGGGTGTCTGGGTAGACAACTTGGCGGCGAATTTTAGCCGAGAATTGGCCGATTACATTGTGTATGTGATTGACGTGGCGGGGGGCGACAAGGTCCCTCGGAAAGGTGGCCCCGGCATCACCCAAGCCGATTTGCTCGTGATCAACAAGACCGATCTGGCGCCGCATGTTGGCGCCAGTTTAGACGTCATGGCGCGCGACGCCAAAGCCATGCGCGGCCGCGGCGCCACTGTGTTTGCCCAAGTGAATGCTCGCGACGGCGTGCCAGCGATTGTGGACCACGTGGTCGCGGCATTCAAGGCCGCCACCGCCACCCCATAAGATGTGACGATGTGGAGTAGTTACTATTACTATGACTAGCCGTAATTTACCATGTCACATGGTGCCGTCGTCGCTGCCGTAGCCACTAGTGACCAACATCATATCGTCTTCTCTCCACACTGGGGCGGAGTCCATTTCCGGCTCGTCGTCGTCGAATGTATCCACGCAGTCGATGGACGAGGACTGTGTCGTGGTCGAAGTGATGGCTCGGTGGCCGTTCGTGATGCGATGAGGTTTCTTTGGTTTCTGGACAAGTGACGGCGGCGCCAAGGGATTAGATCGCTCCTCGAGCTACAATACCGATATTGGTTTTAGATGTAAAAACGAATATTGCGGTAATATTGTCGATTTGATACAATTTTGGGGAGGGGATCGCGCCGACCAAACCGACCCACAATCGATCTGATTGGTTGAATTTCATTGAGAAGGTTTTGATTGGCTAATAATTTTGAGCTGATCTGAAGTAGCCAATCAAATCGATTTAAATTCCAACGAGAAACCACAACACGAAAATTCACTCGAAAGCACAATACATCAAAACGTTGATATCGTACGACCTGTTGATTGTCGTTGTTCAGTGTAGGAATATTATGACGGTCGTCCGCTTTTTTCTTTCCGCGTCCAGCATCCTTGTCCTTTGGTGCTTTCGGCTTTCGCACGGGACCAGCCGTGGAAGTGTCATTGGGTGGGGGGGGGTTGTTGCTGGCATGAAGCCTGGTCAAGCCACGGGGGCCACCACTAGTACCGCAGCCGTGTTGTAGTTGGATGGCGGCAGATTTCGCTGTCGATATGTCGTTGTTGGCGCCGTCATCTCCAATGCCATGCTGCTTGGAGACATTGGCGAGTTTGGTCACTGGTTGGATATCGATTGCTCCGGGGGCTTTGCTCTCGTTGACGGACTTTTGAATCGGTCGGAGTTTCTTGGCGCGGCTGGGCGGACTCTGCGGCTTTGTGGTGGGTGGCTCAGTGTATTCAGAGGCGTTTGTCGACGTAGGATCTCGAGTGACCGGTTTGTCTGCCTTGCTCCGTGTTGGCGGGCGTTCCAGTTGATTCGATTGCGTAGGGTTGACGATAATGGGACTAGTGGCGCTCCGTTCGTTTTTCAAGCTTGGTAACTTGATTGTGGATGGAGTCAAGTAAATTGAGGGCAGTGTCGGGGGATGAGAAGGAGGAGGTCGTCTCGGCTTGTCCTGAATGCGATTGAGATTGCGCATACCATCGTGGAACAACGCTACCTTATCCAAGAGATTCCGGTAATATGTGAGCTCGTCTTTGGCGGCGGCGTCGTCAGCTACCACGTCGTCTTTGGCTGCAACGATCAATTGATTGAAGCTCTGGACGTCCAACCTACGTTTATGCCAGCCACACAGTCATAGCTCGTCGCCTTTCAAGCAGAAATGAACTGACGTCGAGCTGTCTGGTTGACGGCCCTGCATGCGCATGCGCCGAATCACCGCTTTCGCGTCGCGCTCCGAGTCCACGCCGGGCAACGGCGGTAGCCCTAATGTCGTTGTCTTGTCCATGTACAATGTCGGTGGAGTCTTTCTTTTCAAAAACGGCTTGATTCAACCGACAGTTTCAGAAAATAAGATTTCATAGTGGGTAGCGTGGATTATGAACTCGTGAAAAGGCATATTATGCTACCGCCATGACAACTACGGGAAGACGCAGCCGAGGACGCTGCCGTGGATGTTTCGGCACACCGCGTCCGACGGCGCGACACATCGGTCAGCGTCTTTGTAGCTGCGCAGCTTTCGGAGGCAGTCCTTGGTGGTCACGTCACCCTTCTTGGGGCAGTTAGTGCCGTTGCCGCCGCAGATGTCGCCAGGAATACAGTACGTGGCATCGCCAACTACACTCACATCCGTGCAGGGTGGAAGGGGGTTGGCATTTAGATTGAGGCTCGGCGACGGAGTGGGGGATGGAGGAGGGACAGAGTCGACGATAGTCGGGTCAAACATGCATCCGTACACGGTCGCGCCGGCGCGATGGAGGGGTTGACACACGGACGTGAACCGAGCGACGCACGAGTTGGTATCTTGGACGTAGCTGGCCAAGTGCCTGTCGCAGTCAATGGTAGTCACGGCGCCCTTCTTTGGGCAAGACCGCCCCGTGTCGCCACAGGCAGCTCCCACGACGCAATAGGTTGCATCTCCCACGACACTCACAGGGGTGCAGGGGTCGGTTGAAGGGGTCTGGGTACTTGCAGGAGGAGGAGAAGGGGACGGGGTCACAGGAGCACTGCTAGGTCTGACGGTGGGGGTCACCGAGGACGATGGGGCAGTCGAGGACGTAGGTGCAGGTGTCGTGGTGACGGGTGCAGGTGTCGTGGTGACGGGTGCAGGTGTCGTGGTGACGGGTGCAGCTGACGTCGAAGTCGGAGCGGGAGACGAGGTCGGTACATGAGTCGTGACTGGGATAGTAGTGTTAACTGGAGTGCTTGTGGTGTTGGGGGTCGGGGTGGTTGTGGTGTTGGGGGTCGGGGTGGTTGTGGTGTTGGGGGTCGGGGTGGTAGTGGTGTTGGGGGCCGGGGTGGTTGTGGTGTTGGGGGCCGGGGTGGTTGTGGTGGTAGGGGTCGCGGTGGTAGTGGGGGTCGCAGTGGTAACAGGGAGAGTGGTCGACGGAACGGCGGTGGTGGTGGGGATCGCGGTGGTAACGGGGAGAGTGGTCGACGGAACGGCGGTCGTTTCTGGGACCACCGTCGTGACTTCGGCAGTGGTGGGCACAGGCGTCGTGACGACGACCGTAGTTGGAGAGTTCGTGGTGGGTGCCGCAGTCGTCGCGGGGTTGGCCGTGGTCGGTTCTGGCGACTGCGTCGATTTGTCACAGACTAGGTCGGCACCGGCGCACTTTTGGCGGACGGGTTTCCCGCATTCGTCTTCCGATTTGTTCTTGCGGCAGATGCCGGCGCATTGCGAGCCTGGCGCGGTACCGCTGCACACGCATTGTTCTTTGCATTCGTTCGCACTGCCACCGTTGCACGCCTTGAGGCACGACTCGACGGTCGAGATGGGATTGCTGCCGTTGGGACGACAGTCTTGTGCATCGCACGGGAACAGTTCCTCGATGGCGCCGAAGCTGGCACTGCTGGGGGCACAAGCGGCCAGAAGCGCAGCGGCTAGGATGGTATGTACTGCTCGCATGTCAGTTGGGGACTACGACAGAAGGCCTTGCAGCATCCGTGCGATGTGTGTCACGTAATTGTCCGGATGTGTGACATCACTGGCTATTCGCAACACGAATATTTTTTTTCCTGAACCCATATTGCAGGGTATATTTTAATTCGATTTTTCCATCTTTGGACAGTAGACGCTGAAAGCTTGCTGCAAATGCGAGCGAGGCACAGATGGGTGGGGTTGGCGGCAGTGCACGTCGGTTTACCGTCAGAACCATGCAGAGCCAGTAACACCGACCGGCACACGTCCCAGTCCTACTGTCCCGAAGGAGGAGATACCAGTCTCCTTGTGATGCTGTGCTCGACTCGATATGCAGACGTGGGTCGCAGAAAGGACGCGCAAGCGCGTTTGATGAGGACGGGAGACATGGTGACCTGGCTTACTTTGTAAATATGTCGACGTTTCTACTCGGCTAAGATCAGGAGGAAACGTCGTTTTTCGAATGAAACACTCAACGTTAAACTTGATTGGTTTAAATTCTGTTTATAATGCGATTGGATTGGCTGGATAATTGGAGCTTTCATACAGGAACAGGACACGAACACATTACTAAGCTTACTATGAAGTATGTACCAGGTAGTTCTGGTCCTTGATTCCTTCAAAATCATGGTGTACAAATGGGGTACAGCCAAAACACCCTTATTGTTGTACAGTGTACTACAGTACGGTGTGCGTCACCTAATGCCTGTAATTTCTTCAAAGCGGTTCACTGTCAATTCAGACAAAGTTAAGTCGTAGGCTTGGTACAACATATCAGAGGTTTTTGTAAATAACCTTCAAAACTACATGCTGCTACCGGATACATCAGGCCTTATCCGGCACATCTTTGCTTATCTGGTCATGTTTGGTTCACAGTCAAATTTGGACCTTTTTGTAAGATGACCAACTTTGGCCGCCTCGATGCATTTTGTCAATTTTGCGAATTTCTGCCATTGGCTTCACATTCAATTAGTCGATTAACTTTACGATCGTCAAACAATATAGAAGTACAGAGAACCGAGTAGGAACTCGCGCACATTGGTATTTTGAAATATATGGGGAATTGTATGCGAATGTGCAAGTGATTCCGAGTACGAATTATAATTTTGCAATCAGATCAATCTGATTAATTTTATTATATCCAATCATACAATTTACAAACTTTTTATGAGCATACTATTGGTTAAAATATAAAATATGAAAAAAATACTGTTGGTTGACGTCGGAATTTATGAATGCTCGCATGGAAAAAAATAGTGTCGATACCACTGTGCGCGAGTTCCTACTCGGTTCTCTGTACATTGTTCATCATCACAATCAACACGCCAGGGCCAAATCGAGTTCAGTCTAAGGAAGAAAGCAGCGGTGAACTACTTTTCATTGCCATTTTGAAGTATTGGCATCTTCCTCAACCAATTGCGCTGAGTTGCTGAACTGCACACAAAACGGTTGCATAACTTTTAAAAACAGAACGTTAACATAACATACCAATGTATGCTATGAGTTACTAGTATAGCTCAAGATGACAATAATTGTTTGTGATCTTTATGTTATATTTAAAGTTTACGCCAAAATTCGGTCTTTACTGTTATCTGCTGCTATCTGCTGCATTGTGGCTCAGAGATCGCCGATCAACGCAATAAATAACGTGCGTGTACAACAGCATGCTGATTGGCTAATATCCACTTTGCCCTTTCCCGTAAAATTCAATTTCATTGGCTTAGTAGGCAAGTGGTGAAATGAGACCTGTTAGAATTGACCGAGTCCTGAATACCACATCACATGATCTTGCTCTCATACACAGCCTACAATTATCTCAAGGCTCCTTGCATCAACCGCCATCACAGTAATATATCGCAACAGGGCATGATAAATGTACGCAGCGATTTTCGTGATTTCACGGCATCTGATTGGACAAATTGGACAATTTTGAATTCGCAAGGTGACCTGCCTTGCGAATTCCAAAAAGAGACAGACGCATGAAAAATCAAAATCATCAATACAAACTTGAAGATATATTTAATTGAAACTGTACAATTTCAGAATTATTTATGGAATTCGCAAGGTGGTTCGCCTTGCACTCCATACAAAATTGCCTATTTCACTTTGCTTTTTCTGGTTAACCAGCATCACAAGCGATGACGTTATTATCGTCGAGAATGTCACCACATGCATCGTTGTTTTGCGGAGACGTGACAAACGCATGCAATTGGGACGAAATGGCGCGGATGTCCGACGCATGGACTGACCACCCCACAAATTGAAACACGGACGAGTCGCCAACCAACAGACCGGACGGCCAACTCGTAAACATTAGATTGTTAACTGAATGACGTAACAGAAAGTGCCAATTAGTAGCGTATGTGCCATATAAAAGTAAGCCAATCACTGATCCCTAAATTGGAAAAAGCACCAATCACAGAACAAACCAAATGAATATGTATACTCGTAGCCATACAACAGCGAAGGTTCAAATAATACGTCAACAATTGGCACACCACTTTATAGAGATATAGCATATATGAAGAGCTCTATACAGCTCACAGTCAATTGTGCGAAATACATTGCACGTTGATAATTGGTGGATTGCCCTGAAAATTATCTACAATTTAGGGCACTTCAGGATTCAAAAATGATACTAGTACCTCAATCAGGAATTATTTCTAACTTACTAGTATATTATAGTATGGTCATTCTCCGAAAAACAAAAAAAAGTTGTATTGCAACAATTGGCATTCTAACTTACTACGTTAAGCATGTGCAGTGCGTTGCTTCACAAACCGGACTGATGGACGATTGATGTGACCGGTATCTCACACGGATATAATGTTCAAGCTCCTCCATTGACAGGCTAGGTACGTTAGACACCTTTTTGAATGAGCCACCTTTTTGAAGGGATTAATAGTTCCATTAACCAGAAAAAGCAAGGTGAAATAGGCAATTTTGTATGCAGGGCAAGGTGAACCACCTTGCGAATTCCATAAATAATTCTGAAATTGTATAGTTTCAATTAAATATATCATCAAGTTTGTATTGTTGATTTTTATTTTTCATTTGTCTGTCTGTTTTTGGAATTCCCAAGGCAGGTCGCATTGCAAATTCAAAATTCTCCAATTTGTCCAATCAGATCCCCCGTGAAATCACGATAATCGCTGCGTAGATTCGTCACACCCTGTTGCGATATATTCTACTCCTGTGATGGCGGTTGATGCAAGGAGAATTGAGATAATTATGTAGGCTGTGTATGAGAGCAAGATCATGCGATGTGGTATCCCGGACTCGGTCAATTCGAACAGGTCTAGACTTCAGTAACATCACCACTTGCCTATTAAACCAATGAATGTGGTTACCCCTCATTCCACCATCAGTCCGTATCGGTGTTGTACACCTCCCTGCTGGAGTGATCACGTGGTTGCGCGGGTGTGTGGCGCAAGACTTGGTGGCACCCATCGCAAGTGCTAAAGCTGCCACTTCAGCACTTGCGATGGGTTGCTACCAAGACGCCACCGCGTTGGCCCACCAGAGCCGCCACGGCATTGCGACCCAACCGAGCGCACAACATAATGTTAGCTGTAAGGGGAGAACCACATTGGATATAGTCGGAGTGAACTCATCAGTGCACAATGCTCTGGAGCAGCATCACACAAAGCTCTACAAAATTCAAAGTTCAAACAGTTCAAAATTGTAACCTCTTCTGCCAGGATTATAGCCAATCGTGTGTAAGAAGCAAGGTGTGATGGACTCTGATTGGATATTAAAAGGAGCAAGGTGGCTCACCTTGCGAATTCCATTACCAGCTTAACTACTACGTAGTAGTCAATAAGCTTTGCAGCGAACAAGTTGAGGGTCGCTGTACGAGTAATTTAAAGAACCGTCCTTCTCTGCAAGTGCTTACCAGTAACTTGGACTGTCGAGCTCGGTTCCGTGTTTATCTGCGATTTGTGCGTACTGTATCGGTATTGCTTTGGGGGAAATCGTACCATACTCGTACACTCTTGTGCGTGTTCCTAACGTAGGAATACGCGCAAGAGTCTACGAGTAATAGTCCTTGTACGACTTCCTAACGTTAGTAACCTTGTGCTGTTTCACATCGTACTGGTAACAGGTTACTCGAGTAATTCGCACAGAAGCGGGGGTTCCGACGAGAAGTGTCCGGTTAAATACGCCCGCACCTAAGCAATCCTTCTAGAACTTCGTCCGGATACGGTTGCTGGATCGGATTTAAGCAAGGGTTTAGTATCGCAAACTGAGCCGTGAGTATCCGGACATCCATCACATGCCACGTTTTCTTCGAATTTACGGGGGTGGTAGACCCTTGGCTCCAAAGTATACTAAAGTCAAGATGATTGGCTTGTATGGCTCTCGGTAAAGAACTGTTACTTTCCGTTTTCACAGCGCCCGACCAAGTCACTTCCGCCGTCGACAACAGACTGACCATGGCTTTAAAGCGCATCAACAAAGAACTCCTAGACCTCGGCAAGGACCCCCCTGCCAACTGCTCGGCTGGCCCCGTCGGTGACGACCTCTTCCACTGGCAAGCGACCATCATGGGTCCGGAAGACTCGCCCTACTCTGGCGGCGTGTACTTCTTGAACATCCACTTCCCCGCAGATTACCCGTTCAAGCCCCCGAAAGTCAACTTCACGACGCGCATCTACCATTGCAACATCAACGCCAACGGCGGGATCTGCTTAGACATCTTGAAGGACCAATGGAGCCCTGCCCTCACCATCTCCAAAGTGCTCCTTTCGATCTGCTCGTTGTTGACGGACGCGAACCCAGATGATCCGCTTGTTCCCGAGATCGCCCAGATTTATAGAACAGACCGCGCCAAGCACGATGGCACCGCACGAGAGTGGACCGCCAAGTACGCCATGTAGACTTGCGCTTCGGCGCAAAGAAATGTAGTCAAGGGGTCGATTGGGGAAACGAGTGTGAAAGATGGGGACGAACGTGTAGTGGTGCAACAGGTTCGGATGTGGGGACACGGCGGTGCCACGAGGTGCTGAAGGCAGGCAGATTTGTCCGTCCTGCTGATCCAGTCGTGCTTGCTTCCACCTCTGCGTATCCATGCTTGTCGTATAACTTCGATTTAACTATTTGATCCCATGTTGTTGTGTTAATGCAATCGCCGCACGTGCAACGGGTTTGAACAGCGCGAGATGCGACACCTACATGTTCGAAGGAATTCCAAGGAATTCCAAGGAATTCCTCCATCGTCACATATAGCGATCCTTGCTCGGAAGATAAGAGCGATTCCTTGCATCCACCATCATCCATCCCCCATGTCCCGCATAATCTTCTTGTAGCCACATGAGCTCCTCCAGACGAGAAACATCCGGATCCCATGTATCCGGATCAAAACCTACCTGATTGTGATTGCAAACGGCATCAATATGGCGCTGAAAGAAGTGACCAGCGGGGGACAGCCATGGCGCTTGGAGAGGCGGATCGAGGACGTCACAGATAGACTGCGGGTGCTGGCACTCAAGAACTACCACGTGTTTGTTCAAAACCAGCAATGCGCGCAAGTGGTGACGTCGGAGCTGCAGTCGCTTGGGGATAACCTCACAAGCGTCCAAACGTCGCTGCCGTCCCTCGTGTCTCAAAGCAAAGCGTTGGACACGACAGCACACGACGCCGCCAAGACGAACGCCGAGATTCAATACGTGCTCGGCCAGTACGCAGGTCTCATGGGTGTCCTGGAGATTCCCCAGCTGATCGACGGCTGCATTGCCAACGACCTGCTCGAAGACGCGCTGGAAACGATCCAGTTCGCCAAGAAACTACTCGAGCAAACTTACACGTCCTCCATACAGCCCAAGTCGTCGAACGCTTCCAGCAGCATCGTGCACACCTTGGTACGTACGTCACCGCAGGCTGCTTGACGTCGTTCCCTGTCGTTAGGTCGCAGAAGTCAAGCGCGCGACCACGGCGCTGCGTGCCAAACTCGTCGACAAGCTGCGGGGCGAGCTGCCCCTGGCCAAGTGTCTGCATCTAGTGGCGTATTTACGACGCGTGGATGGGCTGTGGACGCCCCTGCCCGCGGACTACGACTACCACTTGAAGCAAGAGTTTTTGGCATGTCGAGATGCGTACCTGTCCAAGACCGTGCAAAGCATCCCCACGTCGGACGCGTACAATTATGTGAGTCGAAAGATATGATGGCATCAGATCCATCGTCCACCCACCTAGCCATCGAAGATGTCGACTTGAAGTAGTCGGGCGGATGGTTAACCTGTGCGTGCATGTATGCTCCTTCTTGTAGTTGATGCAAATCGTGGATGCAAAGCGAACGAGTTGGTTTGACATGATCACGCAGTACTCGGCCATCTTTGGCCATCACGTACGTGGCAGTCTCTCACACCATTGTCATTCGTGTTTGTGACCAGCTTGCCTCATATTAATTATACCCACTTTGCTGTATAGCAAGTGCAAGGTCGAGTGGACGCGGCTTTGTGTGCATGGGCCGTTCGAACCGTGTCCGACCTGACCCGTCTTTTGGAAACGTACGCGCTTGTCCTGCAATATGCGCGCCTGACGCTCTTGATGACTGGTAGGGTCCTGCCCAACGTGGTCGAGTTCAATGCGATCGCTACCATCATGGAACAAGTTCTCTTCTTTGGCGGGTCACTTGGCCGCGTGGGCGTGGATTTCAGAGGTACAGTCCGTCGCCAGTCCTAGTACGACTGTAGCTGGACCGATTGGGTTCGTGTAGGTCTTGTGTTGGTGATTTTTCAGTCACATGTTGTGGCTCGCGTGACGACTCAATGGACCGATGCCGTCGACGCGTTCGACGCGGCGTTGTCTATGCAAGGCGGCGGCGCCATCATGATCCAATCATTTCGACCTGTTTCGACACCTGTCGACCCCACCGGTGGTGGTAGGTATTGATTGTCCTTTTACCCAAAATGTTGGACTTTTGATTCTTTGCCAAATCTATCGATCGATTCATTGTCCTGACTTTTGTAAAGATCGTACTAAGTACTTGGTTGAAGCGAGGATTTGATTGGCCACTTGATTCGCGATCTGGTTTTTGATTGGTCGTATATCGATTGTCTGGTGATTTGGTGATTCTGCTCATGCTGGATTGAGCACCCCACTCTAATTTCGAATATATCGACAATATTTGTACGAATCGAACAACTCGTGGAAGTTGATCCCCGTCATAGACTCGTCGGTGGCGCCGCCGTCGATCATGACGTTTCCAGCGCTCGCCCAGCTCACCAACGCCATCTTGACCTCGTTCAACGACCTTCGGTACATCAAATCTCCATCGCAGTCTGTTGTGGTGGGGCGCGTACACGATGAAAAATCTGCGTAGGCTGTGTGCGCTGCTATCGCTGCAATACCGGTTATCGCTGTGTCTTCAACAATCGATGGCGAGGGTGGTGGTGGCAGTGGGGGCTTTTTGCCGACGTCATGCATTGACTCCAGACGAGGTTGCAGACAACATGGGAGGGGGGGGGGGACAGTCGAGTAAAGTGCCATTGGAAGTGCAAGTGTTTCGATTGATCCAGGTACGTACCTAGCTTCGAAAGCGTATGTGACGATGGGATGGTGGTGTAGGTGATGCACACTGCGTGGGTGCCGTATATCATCCGTAGCTTCCACAAGCTGTTTACCGAGCCCAAGGGTCGACAGATGCCCACTGCGCTCGATGAGGCAAGTCCACCTACTGCTTTGTATGTGACCTGTGTTGATGAGTAGAACGCGCTGACGACGCAAATGCGCGAGTTGCATCTGCTTGTAGTAGTACCTGTGTCATCAGCGTCTACCGGAAGTGACCAACCACCGCCTAGTCGAGTAGTTCCCTAAGATCGCAATAAAAACTAATGAGAGTTTTGTGGTGGTGTTGGCCTACCGCCATACTAGTATAGGCACCCATGTATATTTAGAACTCGAGTGGAAACAGTCGCATTGGGCAACATTCACCATTGTACATCAACAAACATGTCGGCATGGGTAGACGGACCGCAGGAGCACACGTCGAGCCCTCTTCCTCGGCGCCACAAGACGTTGGAATTGGTGCTGGACGATGAAAGCGACGAACCCGAGGTGCCGGATGTTGGCAAAAGACGCGATATCGGGGGCCTTCCTAGCCAAGGAGTGACCAAGTCTTCATACTCGGGGGTGGCGGTGGAAATGGTTCTGCCATCTACGTCAGAGACACTGCGTTTCGCAGGCGGGCCTCAACTTGCTGCCACACAGACGCAGTACATTGAAGATCTAATTCGAGACTTCTTTCGGACTTATCAAATCACCGCCGCGCTCGACGCGTTCGAGTGCGAACGGGTACGACGACTCACCACCACCAGTTGCCAAATCTAGCCATGTTTATGTACAACATGGTTGCCCTCTTAATCATCTGGGTTGTGTGATGTACGTAGCCCATTGTCGACGCCAGCAAGGCGTTGGATCGAGGGAGTCTTGGCTTGGATGTGACCGACGGGGGCGGTGAGTAGCAGCAGCCCCCCCATCATCGCACCCCCCCTCAATATCTAGTCCATCCAAACAACGGGACCATGTTCGTAGGATATGGCCAAAGTCGACTGGAAAGCTTTGTGCAGTCGTGGAACCAAGTGGAGCATGGTGTCGAGTTCGTGGTACATTGCTCCATTCCACTGGCTTTGCCGGTCGAATCAAAATATATGACGGCGACATTTGAGTATCTAGAAACAACCAACAGCCAGGAAACCTAAGAAGAAAAAAACTCCACCGCCGTCAGCGTTGGCGATCTCCCCCCTACCAACAGGGACAGCGCCCCCTGTGCCGGAAGTGAACGAGCCAGTCGCCGAGTGGGACTTGGGGGTCCCTGGGTGCACCCCCAAGCCGCGCATCCACGACTTGAAGAGCTTTGGCTTTGACGATGTCGACGACCTCAGCTGTCCCACGTCACCAGGCGTCGCTACCCCGTCGAGCCCAGTGCTGGACAAGCTGGCCCAGCGCTCGAAGACAACAACGTCGTCTTCCCAAGGCAAGAAGGTGTCAATTGGGGAAGACGGGTCCACGCCCAAGAAGCAGTACATTTTCTACCGCGAAACCCCGCCATCGTTTGTCACTGAGAGCGAAGAAGCTGCGCGGGAAGTGATGGAGAAGCTATCCCTGGACCCCCAGTACGACATCGTCCCCCCCGAGGCGCAGCAGCGGTTTGTTGAGTTGTCAAGCAGCGAAGTCAGCAAGTACGCCGTCGGCAAGGTGCGGCACGAGTCTGTATTGCTTAAACACTTGTGATTTATCATTATACCCTTGTACAACCCTTTTGTAGCGGGTCGAAGGGCTCGGGGCCACGCGCTCGATCTGTGGCATCGTGTCCAAGACGTTTGGAAGCAAATTATGCGGCACGAGTGGGCCTGGCACGATCGTCATCGATACCCAAGTGGGTTTTAAATCCTCGAAAACGAACGAATCGTTCTAACCCCATTACGTTCTAGCCGGAAGTGGATGCTTCTCCAGTCCCGTCGGCCACTGGCCTAACTTGCGCGACGTCGTTCTCGGCTGAAGACGAAGCACTCATCGATGCGCTTCTCGAAAGCAATTGAACCATCCTATAGATATCATACAGTATATATTGTGCTTTCGAGTGAAATTTCGTGTTATGGTGTGGTTTCTCGTTGGAATTTAAATCGATTTAATTGGCTACCTCAGATGAGCTCAAAATTATTAGCCAATCAAAACCTTCTAAATAAAATTCAACCAATCAGATCGATTGTGGATCGGTTTCGTGGATTGCACCCCCTTCCCAAATTTGTATCAAATCGAAAATAGATCGATCGTCCTAACAAATCACCGACACAACTCTACACTTGTATCCCTTCAAATAGCACCAACTACACATGTGTAGTGGTGACATGCGACTATAGTAATAGACTTTGTTACAGTATTTACACATTCGTCCACTACTCCTCGGGGGATGGCTCGTGTGTCGACAGTGTGTCCAATGCACTGGTCAACGACGCCGACGGCGTCAAGCTCTTGCCCGCTACGCGCGTGGTCTGCAGTTCGTGGTGTTGTAAAAAGTAATTGGTCCACAGCTTGAGCGCCTGGTGCCCCGTCCAAACCCACAATGGGCCAACGACAGGGGTGTAGTCTGGATTGAGAAAGAACGACGCGGCTGCACACAGCGGAGTCCACACTGACACGGTGCGCGAGGCGACTCCCGCGAGCTTGCGCTGCTGGTACGAGTCGTACACGAACGTGCCGTAGAGCCCGGACGTGAGCGCGTTGGCCAAGTGCAGCAAGCAGTGCTCGTTGAACTCGAATGCGTTTGGAAACTGCGACAACATTTGGAACACGGCGTCCAGAAACTGGAAAAAGATGGGCGACATCTTGGCCCGCATCGGGTCTTTGCCGCGGTTGCCCCCCAGCCGCTCCATAAACTAAACCAAACACGTACGACACACAGAAAGGTCAATATAGTTCACATCGGCAAGATATATATATATATATCATATAATAAAATGATCTCCCACTTCGAAACGGGTTGTACCCGATAAACTTTATAAACTAATAATGAGCTATTGAAGATTCATCCAAACAATAATACTTGCATAATCTAACATACTGTATATAAATTGCAAAAGTTATGCCGTTTCAAAGTGGGAGGGAGATCAATATCAGCAAAACAAATACAACATTGACGTACGCATCGTCTCGAGGCCGAAACTATCAGCACTGGTAGCGTGGAAGAAAGCCATGTGAATATATATATATATATATATATATATAAGTATTTTATATAAATGGATTTATAGTTGGACACGAAACATATTTTTATACATAAAGCCAGCCCCATTTGTCTAAATATAATTAATATACATGTATAAATAAATATAAACGTGTAGGTCGAATACAATACATCGTTCTGTGTTTTGTGTATCTTGTGACAATATATATATACATATGATAGATGTGCGTCGTATCTACATAGTCAACCCGATTTCTTTAAACACATACATGTATAAATATAAAGGTCATATACACTATAGCGCAATGTATTTTTATATACCTTGTGCCCAAACAAACACCAGTCCTTTTCTACGAGCGTGGCAAACCCATGCAGCGTGCGGTAGTGCGGATCAAGCATAATCTGAGCCAAGCAGACCAGCTGACACGTCCGGTCCCATCCGTCGCTGCAGTGGACGAGGGCCGACGCGCCTTCGACCTCGAGCACCCGCGCTATGCGACACGCGCCGTCCAGAACCAAATGCAAGTGCTCAAACCATCGTGTGGCCTACGTCCGTCGTATTATACATTGAAAAAGAAATATTCAAAGCAACCAAAGTAAGCATCCAGTGTTCGCTAAAGAATAGACTAAGAATCGGCGACGTGTGATGAAAGTTAAAGCCACCGCCATAATATCGGCGTTGTCATGGGTAGAAATTGAAACAGAGAGAAAATATAACATGGAGATGCGCAAACATACAGTACACACACAAGCAATACATATATGCATATACCGATCAGGCTTAAAAAATGGGATTATAACATCGAAATACGGAAACATACACAAGAGTAATATATATATATAGAGGCAACAATCATATCGTTCGGTCTTAAAAATAGGAAAATAAAATGGAAATACGCAGACAATACTCTAGTAATATATATATATATATATATGCGCCACATCATATTGGCCATTTCGTTCTTACCTCGACAGCCGACCACCATGTCTTGTCGTATTCTGGCATGATACAGATCTTCACCATGGCTACACCAGATGATAAAAAATCACGATCACTTTTAACACGGAATAAATATATGAATATATATATGTTGGCAACTCTATGAACCCAAATCATCAAATTTTGAAGGAAGATATAAAATTATTATTATTATTATTATTTTGATTTTTGGAACTGTTATATAGGGGTTTCAAATACATAATCCAACGAGACGATTGTTATTATTGTCTAATATATTCTAAACTGGAGCCATACGGAGAATGAATTTCGACACAACCAAAATGTGCAATAAATTCGACGGAAGAATTGAGCCAATCACAAAATTGAACGAAATCGTCAGTTCCACACACATCAACATCGAAACAAACTTCGTGTATGAATTTAAATTAGTGTGATTGTCTTGATCTTTTGTACAAATACATACAAACAATGCAGTATTGTCAAGTCGATTCGAAATTGGTGTGGGGTGCTCAATCGAATGAGAAGATGAACCAAATCTGCAGAGCGACCAATCAAAACCCCGAACAAGAGTCAAGTAGCCAATCAAATTCTCGTTTCAACCATTCGACATCGAATTAGTGGGTGACTTCAATTAGTGTGACACCAGACGGTTTTACATACAAAAGCCAATACAACGAATCGATCGATCCATGTTTGGCGAATATGCACACAAGTCACCCAAATTTTGGGTAAAATATAGGAAACAACCTATCGATCGACGGATTTGGTAAATAGCAACACAAGTAGACAAAAAAAGATCAATTCACAATATACCTTGGTACGACGCTTGCATTTTGTACATGTTGGCAATGTTGAGATGGTAAATGATAGCTCGTTCGTAATTCTCGGAGGTTTCAACGCCGCCTTTTCCCATGAGGCGGTTGCCCGCGGCGGCTTTGGACTTGCGCGCGTCGAAAATGTAAAACGGTTTCGACGGCCCTGGCCGCTGTCTGTAGCAGTTGACAATGCCTTCGTCCATGTTGCACGAGGCGCCGCTGAGGAGCCGACCCAGCAGCGGTTGCGATGACCGCGCGAGAACCGACTTGTGCACAGGGTGTAGCCACGTCACGACGGGGAGCCGCCCCTTGGCACGGAACCCCGCGGCGCTTTCGATGCTGCTTTGGGAGAGCGATGCGGGTACGACCAGCGTCGGCGGGTACGAGTCACACACGTCGCCATTGTCGTTGTCAATCCACTACCACCACATAACACATGATGATGATGGTGATGATCTGTGAGGATACTATTGATATACATATATATATATATATATATTGAAAGAAAGATCATCAAAGTGCATTCTAGTAGCATAGACGATTTTGGTAAGAGAGTAGAGGCTTTTACTTTGAGAGAGGGGCAGAAGATGGAAATACGTAAACGGGGAAGGTTCGATTATGATATGTATAATATAGACAATCTGTGACGATACTATATATATATATATATATAATCGTAATAATATCATGAAACTTCATCCTGTAAGCATATACGATTGCAGGAAGTGTGGAGGTTTAGTTAGAAATAGGTAGAAGGTGGATGTACGTCATGGCAGAGTTGATTACGATATATATATCCAAGCGCATTCCAGTAAACATGTACTAGTAGTAGTCAATAAAAGCGGTGGAATCGGAGGCAAATAAATAAATATACATGTAAAGATAGGAAAAAGCACGAGGGTGACAAGTCCAGGGCGAAACAAATGTGATGGGAGCGATAGTGTAGAAATCAACAAACATCGTCATCCAGATGTCATCCGTACACGACCCCCCAAATTCCAAACAACAGAGAAGCAACTATCTCTCTCATTTTCAACGACCAGACCTGAAAATGTGTGTCGTCGTTCAGTCCCAGTCGTTCGTACTCGGTTGCGAGATGGGCAAACTGCCAGCCGTCCACGGGAACATGCGACATGATGTACAGAAATGCAAAGTGGGGGATGTCTCCACCTGATCCTTCCGTCATACTGCTGCACCCCACAAGGTGCACGGGGGTGTGGCGCTGGGTGCATTCGGCTAGGCGGTTCACCAGCGTCTGGAGGGTCTCCGCCTTGTCGTCGGCCACATCCAAACGAAGCGCCCGCACGTCTTTGCACGTAACTGCCAGCGCCGAGGTGCCCTGCAGGCGACAAGCCGCCGGGTCCTTGGTGAATCCCGTGCCGACGCCCCCGCCAGCCCTGGACACCGACACGATCGCAAACAGCGGAATTTCCACCAGCGTCGGGCCGTGGGCTTCCAGGGGTAAAAACAGCAGCCGGTAGTTGGTCACCATGACGATACCCCGAACATGGCAGTCCATGAGCGCGGCGGTCGCGGGGAATCGGGACAGATGCATCCGCCGCTCGCCTTTGAGCAGCGGTACGAGCGGTAGCCGCCGCGGCTCGATGTGCGGGTGTGCACGCTTGTACGCGTCAACCACTGAGCAAAACTCGGCTTTGACCGCGTCCGACGCAAACTGGTACACCACGTCTGACCGGTGCACAAAGCACAGCCGAACGGCGTCACTACCTACGGCCCCTGCCTGCACGTGCACGTCTGGAAACCGAAAGCTAAACGTTGATCCTCGAACGATGGATGTGACGTGGACGAGCCCGAGGGTCGGGTTCACAGTCAGCCGGTACCGATCCGATGCCTTGCGGAACAGTGTCACGTAATACGAAGTTGTCGGGAGCAGCAGGTTAGGATTCTCAGACAAAGAAGACGCGGTGGTGTCACGATCGTCCTCTTCGAGGAGCTCCTCCACAGGCGGAATGTCCCGAATGTCAGTGGCATGCTGACGCCCCGCCGCCGCCGCCACGTCGTCCTCATCGACCTGGTCGTACGGGTCGATATCTGGGGTGGACAGATGCATGAGAGCCTCCACGTTATCGTCGTCGTCATGGCTGTTGCTATTGCCAACCACAGACAGCGTATGGGGCACGTGGTCGTGGGTGGGAATACTGTCCAAGAGCACCATCAAAGACAGGATGGACCGGATTGCTAGATCTGGCACCCCCGACGATGTCTTGTCTGGCTGCACATTGCTAGGCAGATGCCGCGTCGACTTGCGAGAGACGAAGAAGGGGGTGGTGTCGTCCGACAGCGACATCATCGGGGGGGGCGGCATCGACGACGCCGACAAGAGGGGCGTGGCCACGTCGTTGCCTTCGCTGTCGTTTGAGTCCATGTCGTCATGGTATTCGTAATGCGCGACGATCGTCGCCAGCACATGCTTGAGGATGCTCATGATGATACCCGCAGTGGTCACCGTCAGGCGGGGCCCTATCGCCGCCGCGGAGATTTCGTCCTTCACGGACGGGGACAGGTGCCCGTCGTCTGTGGCGACGTCAACCGCCGCGAGAAACTCTACAAGGTCGTGGGGGCTTTGTAATCGTTTGACAGAAAAAGTAAGTTTTCGTACGATCAATGGTGGCTGGGAGAACGTCGGAGGACGGGGTGTCTGGAGGCGGTGGTGGCGGTGGCGGCTGTAGGAGCAGGTCCGTGTGGACATTTGAAACATGTGATATATATATATATATGCTGTACCGCGTCGTTGAGGCGTGGCCGAATGTGTAGGTCGAATTGAGCATTTAAAAAGTCCTTGAACCAGGCGCTACAGAGCGTACACACTTTCACGGTTGACGATTCGTCGTAGCCAAAGCTGCGCGGCACTTGGCGATGGGAGATGCACTTCCCACAGGAAATGTAGCCACACGTCATGCCTGTGTAGACGGTTAGTGTCACATGGATGGAGGACATACGCGTACAGTTGGTGGGCCGCGCGAGGAGCGCAAACTTCTTGGCACAGGATGCACACTTGGCCGCCTCCCGCTTCATGTCAGCCCCGACGCGAGGAATCCCGGCGTTTCCCGCCGGCCGCTGGTGTTTCATCAAGAGCGACTCGAGCTTTGTCGTGACAGTCGCCGACGTCCGGAGCGTCGCCGCCAAGATGGCCTTGTCGTCTTTCTCGAGACCTTGGCCGTGTGCTTCGTAGAGCACCTTGAGCGTGATGTCAGCATTCACTAAAGACGATATGGACACGGTTTCCTTGTTCGATGTGCTGTACGTCCGTGCATTGTAGCTGAATTTCGCACGCGGCGTTGGCTTCATCGCGGTGTGCAGAAGTTGTGAATTGCCTGAGCTGAATACAAAGATTGGATTGGTTAAAAGGAGATCATATACCAAGTACTGATTGGCTGAATCTAGAGTGTTGTGGTGAGATGAAAAGTCAACACTCACAAGACAGTAAAGTTATCTGTAGGACTGTCGTGTGATTTCAATACAAGGCTCCAATTGATGGCATATTCGAGGAGAGCAAAATACATGTACTCCCAGTATTTGACTGCCACACAGTACTGTACTGGTGTGCGTACATGCTTCTGCGTAACGTTATGCATACAGGTACGCAAAGTACCGATACTACATGATTTTGCGGTTAATTTCGAAAAATAATTTGGTATATTTTGTAGAACCCTATTTAAGTTCGCAATATTTACATTGCTAATTTAATTCTGTGGGATCCCATAGCTTTGTTACATGAATGCGAGTTTGAAACGAACAAAAGTCAGCTTTGAGCACGACTGTATACGCTGCACATGGGAAATATAATGGTTGTGCACGTACTGTATTGTGTTGGAGATTTTGAGAATTCAATGATTGAACCGCGAAATATAATAAGCGAAATCGAAATCAAAATTAATGACTTGTTAATGGAATTCGCAAGGTCAGCCACCTTGCTCCTTTTTAATATCCAATCAGAGTCCATCAAACCTTGCTTCTTACACACGATTGGCTATAATACTGGCAGAAGAGGTTACATTTTTGAACTGTTTGAATTTTGTAGAGCTTTTCTGCTCGAGAGAATTGTGCACTGATGAGTTCATTCCGACTATATCCAATGTGGTTCTTCCCTTACAGCTAACATTACGTTGTGGCCTCGGTTGGGTCGCAATGCCGTGACAGCTCTGGTGGGCCAATGCGGTGGTGCGAGACGTCTTGGTACAGTAGGAACCCATCGCAAGTGCTGAAGTGGCGGCTTCAGCACTTGCGATGGGTGCCACCAAGTCTTGCGCCACACACCCGCGCAACCACGTGACTACTCCAGTAGGGAGGTGTACGGCACCGACACGGACTGATGGTGGAATGAGGGATGACCACATTCATTGGTTTAACAGGCAAGTGGTGATGTTACTGAAGTCTAGACCTGTTCGAATTGACCGAGTCCGGGATACCACATCGCATGATCTTGCTCTCATACACAGTCTACATATTTATCTCAATGCTCCTTGCATCAACCGCCATCACAGGAGTAGAATATATCGCAACCGGGTGTGACGAATCTACGCAGCGATTTTCGTGATTTCACGGCATCTGATTGGACAAATTGGAGAATTTTGAATTTGCAATGCGACCTGCCCGACCTGCCTTGGGAATTCCAAAAACAGACAGACAAATGAAAAATAAAAATCAACAATACAAACTTGATGATATATTTAATTGCATCTGTACAATTTCAGAATTATTTATGGAATTCGCAAGGTGGTTCACCTTGCGCAATATACAAAATTGCATATTTCACCTTGCTTTTTCTGGTTAATGTAAAACAAATTTTCTTGCTGCTATTTCGTTTTCATTTCTCAATATTTTAGCAAATAGAGACGTAGAATCGAGAGATCTCAACGTGGTGAAGAAATTCTACGTTTCAGATTTAAATTTGATGAAGCATTGGTCAAAAATAGAATTTAGCCAAGTGGTATTTTGCATGGGCGAAATGAATTTTGATCTTTGTACGAATGAGCCTAGTATCCGTACATCATATCCGGAGGTAAGTGGACCTTTAACCTACCTCTACAGTGATAAAACGCAGGCATATCGGGATTTACAGTTAACTTATTAAATTGTTTGGGTTTAATTACATTATTTATACGTTAAATAATATAACCTCCAGTTTTGGCATCATAGGTGATGTGCACAATACTACAGGTAACGTTACTTGAAGTATTTTTCGAAGTTAACCGCAAAACGGTGCACTTCGAGGTATAAATAAAATGCACATAATAACGTTATCGTACCTGGTCATCAAACGATTAATTTCGGGCAACTTTACAATCTTGCTCGCATACACTTCGTATTACTCGTACAAAGTACAGCAATGTACGCAGGGCACATGTAGTTTATTGGATTGAGCGGATGGGATTTTCAAAACCAGACCTACGATGTAGTAGTATTACTACTAGTAGTACTACATAGTACTAATAGTGTGGATTGCACTATACTATACTGTACTACTATGTAGTATTAATAGAATATCACTCAATCCGCACTAATTATGGGCTAATGTGGACCACACCAATTTTGAATAACGTTATGGAGAATTACTTACTTTTATCTTAATTTTTGTATGAGGCATATCTCACAAAAAGGCACATCACAAATCAGTATTGAAGTAAACAGTAAAAAAGTGCAGACATACAGTATCATATCCAAGGGTGATTATACATACGTTAGAGCCTGTTCCAAGTAGAATTGGAAAAAAACGAAAAATGGGGTGACAAAATATTTATACATATTTACCCATTTACGAAACAAGATCAACACTCCGATAGTGAAGTTCATACTTTATTTTGAAAGAGAATGATGGTTACGAAACTTGGTATTTCATCCCATTTTCTACCCATTCTATGATCATGATTGATTGGACATAAATCATTAGACTAAGATGCATGCTGATTGGTCAATAACACAGTGTTGTCGGCGATGCACAGAAAGGTGTGGCGGGTGCAGCGCAGGTGGCGTGTGAACCATCCGTCGTATGTGCCGTCGGACTTGACTTGCTGCCACGTGGTACTGGGTACGACAACAGTGTTGATGCCAGGGGCGCGGTTGCTACGTTCGTCGATCGAAAGGCGGCGCCAACGACAGCAACTCACGCTGCAGTGGTCGAGTCCATCATGTCAAATTGAAAAGTTGGAATGGGATTGGGATCAATGATTGGATAGTGGGCATCCATTATTAGCCAGTCATTGGCGAAATAGCTGAGGTGCCCAAAATGGGATGAAATGGGGTCATGTACCCCATTTTGAAAAATGGATTTTGTAATGAGTTGGGGAGCGTTTTGATTGGATAATGCCCATTTTGAAAAGTACTTTTCATTAGAGCCTGTTCCAAGTACTTTTCAAAATGGGCATTAT